TTATTATTGTAATAAGTCGAATTATCAGCGGTATATTTGCATAGTTAAGTTCAAGTACCCCTCTAATCATCGGTTACAGAAAACGTCACCAGACCACAAACAGGTCAAGTATTTACTCTACGAATGTGATAAATATGTAAAATATTTGAAAAGACTGATTTTAACTGCTGATCATTCGAAATTTATTAACAATAGCAAATCCGCTTTGCAATAATTTTTGTGAGTAAGAGAGCTAGACACTTTAGAATTTGAAGCAAAGAATGTGGTTATTTATGTTGTTTAAAAAAGATCTTTATTGTCTTGGTGACAGCGTTAAAAATTGATATTATTAAAAATAAAGAACGTATTGTATTTATTTCCAAGCATCTCCGCTGTATAAAGAGGGTTCTAAGACTAGTAGTTTTGTTTTTGTTACAGAAGTCTTACTAATTAACAACAAAACTAATTTTCTACAAGACATAATACTGACAAAAAACTATTGAGGATATTAAATTTTTATTAATAGAAAAACAAAAACAAGAATTAACTCCATCAGAAGTGAAACTTTATGATATTCGGTAACATGAAACGCTTTTAAATCAGTACGCTTCCTCATTTCATTAATTGCGCATTTTAAGCAAACTTTTCTGGAGTCCAGGATTCTTATTGTTAGGTTAGGTGGCTTAGGTTTGGGATCCTGTTTGATCCCTCACTCGGAGGTCTTGGGCCCATTGCTGTGCCATTGCGATACTCCTGTATTATTGTACCAAACCTTCCTCTCATTCTTTCTTTGCGGTAAAGCATTCCCAGCTCTTTGCAAAGTTCCCGATGTCGCTGATGTTGGCTTCTACTGCTTCCTCTAGTCCTTCCAAAAAACGGTATCCAGATCGGTATTCCAGTGCCGGACAGTGATACAGGAGGTAGTCTATGGAAGCTATATTTTCTTCTTCCTCTCCGCATTTTCTGCAGTAGTCGTCGTTAGAAATCTTCCATCTGACGAAGTTCACCATCGTGGGACAGTTTACAGTCATGACACCTAATATTATGCATAATAGGTTCTTTTTGTGCTCTAGTAATTGTTTTGTGTTTTTGCTATCTACCACTGGCCACAGTCTTCGAGCTGTAGCGCAGTTCTCACGGTGTTGCCACGTCTCTTGCATCTTAGCCTTCATGGTAGTTCCTATAGCTCGTTATTGTTAAAAATGCGGAAAATATATTTTTGTTTTTTAATGCCAAATCTGAAATAAAAATCTTTACTTGGGTATATATTTTTAATCAGATCCATCAACCATTACTTCTCATTTTGTAGAAGATATCAATTTATCATTAGCTGTTAGCATAATAGAAAAAAGCATTATTACTTCACCATACATCATATTAGACATTACTAAGATATAAATGTAATGTCTCCATAATAGAGCAAATAATTCCTGGGATTTAATGAATAAACAGTCTTTTGTTTTCAATTTCCAAAAAAAACTATTGATAAAATTGTAAGATGTAATACCTTAAAAAATATTTAAATATATTGTTGTGAAATAATCATTAGTAAATTTTATTAGATGAGTAGGTAATTAATAGATATCTCGCTATTGGGAAACCCTAGCTTAGAGATTATATATGTTCAAAAATATACAATGTCGTGTGTAGTTAGCGAAAGGTCACAAATTATGCATTTTTCCTGTAACGTTTAGCCATTTTAATATTCCCAACATTTTCTCCTGCCATCATCGATTTTACAAAACGGAATAAAGACACTATTTAACAGAGAGCAGCATTTCCAGCACATATCAGGGTGATACCAAGACGAAGAATAATACCGACCAGTGCAAGGCTTACTCAAGGCCAAAACCAAGACTACTATTAGGCTGCAAGACCAAGACCAATGCCAAGCCAGTCTTGATCTTGGTCGTGCTATAATTGCAATCCATATAGGGCCGTTTTCAATATTTTGGCTAAATCATTGTTTCTGGAATTCTCGTTTGGAGATCCTATTTTATAATTTAGTTTTAACTTTATTACCATCTAAAGCCAGAAATAGTATCTAAAAGTTTCGTTTTTCTTCTACGTTTTCGGTTTCCAGCATTGTTTTCAAACGCGTTTTCAAACCTTCAAAATTTGATTCATAACGCAAGTTTCATAAGAAGATGTGTTATATTTAAAGTCACTCACCAACATCTTATCTGACTACTAATAGTTATCAATGTCATCATAGAAAGGAGAAAACTTAAGGACAATATATAAAGAAAAAAAGTTTTTTATAGCCAAAAAAAAACAATAATTTAGATCTTATGTCTAGCAACAGCAAAAGGTCGATTAGACCATTTCTCAATAGCCCCTGTTTACACTAGTGCCCCAGTCAATACTTCGGCGATACATCCATTGTTTCTGGAATCATGGCATGGTAATTCTATTTTGGAGAAAGATAAACATGCTACCTTTATCCGAGCCTTTATCAATGTCATAAGATACGTTTTACTTGTACCTGTTTAGTATCAAGCGTCATTTTAAAGCTTCCAAATCCTTCCTGTTTATGATCGATATCGTAGAGGAGCCAGGTCACTGTTTGACTCATACAAATTTGACTCATACACAAACACCAACAATATACGATAAAATAGTGCATTGTAAACAAAATCACTCATCAAACATTTTTGAAACTGTAAGTTATCAATGTCGAGATAAAAATAACAAAATAAAACATTTCAGCAAACAAATTAACGAAAGTAAACATAAATATTATTATATTCAAATCAATCTAAAAATTCTTTAAGAATTATTACTTCCGATAAATCAATAATAGAGCTCTTTAGATTAACAACAGAAACACATGACATCTCCATGTCAGGGCGACACTGTGTCTGACATTTCGCGTTCGGTTTTCTTGATAGAATCACCAGTTTTCGCTGATGCCCTAGTCAATGTTTTAACAAAACGTCAGTGTTTCTAGAATCGCCCATCGTTTTCTCCAGTTTTTGATTAATTTCGTTGGAATAAGGTCACTGTTTGATTGATAGCAACAAAATGTATAATTGCCTCATCACACAAAATTTAAACTTAATTCACACAAAAACTTAATATTGCTTCATCATGATTCTATTTTTAAAAAAGATGAAAATGCCGCGTTGACTTTATCAAGGCTCTGGCCTTGATAAAGTCAACGCGGAAAAGTCAAGCCAGAAATAGCGTATGGAAGATGCGTTTTTGATGTACCTTTTTGGTTTCCAGCGTCGTTTTTTAAAACGCCCAGCATTTTCTCCTGTTTTTGATCGATTTTGTTGGAATGAGGTCACTGTTTGATTGATAGCGGCAACATTTGCTTAATATTACTTCGTCATACAATATTTGATAAAAGAATGCATCCTAAAGAAAATCAATTATAAAAAAAATATCAGATTATTAAAAAATGAATAATTTTTCCCAAATGTTCCAGAAAATTCAGTATCTAAACATTACTAAAAGTAAATATTGACATTAATTCATTTAAAACAATAAAACATTTGTTATGGGTTTCCATTGCCAAAAGATCAATAACGAGGGATCTTTAGATGAGCAACAGTAAAATAGCTGATACGTCCATGCCAGGGTGACATTAAATGTGACAGTTCGGCGATCAATAGGACCGTTTTCATGATAGAAGTACCCGTTTTCGCTAATGCCCTAGTCAGTATTTTGGCGATACGTTAGTATTTCTGGAATCCTCGTTTGGTGATTCTATTTTTAAAAAAGATAAACATACCGCGTTGACTTTATCAAGGCCAGAAGCCAGAAATAGTGTATGGAAGATGCGTTTTTGTTGTATCATTTTGATTTCAAGCATCGTTTTAAAACGCCCAGCATTTTCTCCTGTTTTTGATCGATTTTGTTCGAATGAGGTCATTAATTGATAGCGGCAAAATTTGCTTAATATTACTTTATCATACAAAATTTGCTAAAAAATGCTCTTAAAAAAAATCAATCATAAAAAAATTATCACATTATTAAAAAATTAATTTATTGTAAGAATCGTTTTTCCGAATGTAACAGAAAATTCAGTATCTAAACATTACTAAAAATAAATATTGACATTACTTCATTTAAAACAATAAAACCGAAAATAAAACATTTTTTATGGGTTTCTATTGCCAAAAGATCAATAACTAAGACGCCTCTTTAGATGAGCAACAGTAAAACAGCTGATACGTCCATGCCAGGGTGACATTGAGTGTGACAGTTCCACGATCAATAGGATCGTTTTCATGATAGGAGCACCAGTATTCGCTAATGCCCTAGTCAATATTTTGGCGATACGTCCAGTGTTTCTGGAATCCTCGTTTGGTGATTCCATTTTTAAAAAAGATAAACATACCGCGTTGACTTTATCAAGGCCAGAAGCCAGAAATAGTGTATGAAAGATGCGTTTTTGTTGTATCATTTTGGTTCCCAGCATCGTTTTAAAACGCCCAGCCTTTTCTCCTGTTTTTGATCGATTTTGTTGGAATGAGGTCATTAATTGATAGCGGCAAAATTTGCTTAATTTTACTTTATCATACAAAATTTGATAAAAAAATGCCCTTAAAGAAAATCAATCATAAAAAAATTATCACATTATTAAAAAATTTATTTATTGTAAGAATCGTTTTTTCCAAATGTTACAGAAAATTCAGTATCTAAACATTACTAAAAATACATTTTGACATTACTTCATTTAAAACAATAAAACCGAGAATAAAACATTTTTTATGGGTTTCCATTGCCAAAAGATCAATAACTAAGACGCCTCTTTAGATGAGCAACAGTAAAACAGCTGATACGTCCATGCCAGGGTGACATTGAATGTGACAGTTTGACGATCAATAGGACCGTTTTCTTGCTAGAAGCACCCGTTTTCACAAATGCCCTAGTCAATATTTTGGCGATACGTCAGTATTTCTGGAATCCTCGTTTGGTGATTCTATTTTTAAAAAAGATAAACATGCCGCGTTGACTTTATCAAGGCCAGAAGCCAGAAATAGTGTATGGAAGATGCGTTTTTGAAGTACCTTTTTGGTTTCCAGCGTCGTTTTAAAACGCCCAGCATTTTCTCCTGCTTTTGATCGATTTCGCACACTGGAAAGAGGTCACTGTTTAATAGATATAAAATTTATTTTGGTATCACTTCATCACACAACACTCGATTAAACGGTACATCCCAATCCGAATCACTGATAACAATTTTTTCGGAACATATCGTCATAAACGCGACAGGTTTTTCCTCGAAAATGGAATTTTTCAATTGTTTCGCGTCGAAAAATCTACGCTCGATGACGGAGGGACCGGCAACTGCTCCGAAATCGAGAGATGCTGTGGCTGAAAATAAACAAGCGACAGTCGACGGCCGACCGACTGTGCTGTGGGTCACATGACAGTCGGGGAACAGTTGCGATTGGCGGGCGCGGGAGCCGGCGAGTGCAGCCGCGGCGTGTACGGTCGCGAGCTGCTGCGGATGTGCATCGCAGGTGTAAAAAAATTCTAGACGGGGCCTAACAGCTGTGGAACGGATGAATGTTGATGTGGAGCAAACGCTTAGATGGGCACTTGCCAGAAAAAGTTTATGGGAAGTTTGGAGTTTTGGACATGGCGAGTCTCATGCCATTCTGACTCTCTTTGGATTAATTTACACTACTTATTGCCGCTAATGTTATGGATTTCGCCACATTGGCTCTGTGCACATCTGGACATGAGCCGTTTTGCCAAAAAAAAACTCCAGAAACATCTACAGGGGAAAGTGCCAGGTAGCCATGAAACTATCGTTAGTTTCATGGCTACTCGCTCTGGATTAGCATATTTATGGATATGGATATAATTTCCTATTTCCGGTTTGCCATCATTTTCCTTTTCTATCCGTCATCATATATCCTTCCAGTTTTCGGTGGAATTATTAATTTCAATAAAATTTTCGGTTTTATTAATTTTAATAAAATCATAAATCTTTATAATTTTGTTGGAGCGCCTTTGACTAAACCTATATATCTATGCCCAACCTTTTTGTGACCTCACGAGCCGCCACTGGTAGAATCAAAAATAGTTTTTGTTGTTTGTGTTTTACTAATTAGGAATTATGTAAATTTTGTTATTATTTTGTAAATTTTGTCTGTATTAGGACTTCACTTTTTAAATAATTAAAAACATAATTACATACGCATGATCTACAGATTAACGTGTTATAAATTTATTTATCTGTACCTAGTCGAATTAAGTGGCGCAACTAAAGAGTAATAATATATATATGAGGCGCAGCCATCGAATATATCAAAATGATTTTATCACTGTAAACAAACTCATTGTTAAATAATCTTTGAAATATTTAATTCGATCCTTTAAAATTAATATTAATCTAAAAATATGTCTGGGTATCTGGGTGATTTTGCGATAAAGAATTTTGTTTAAAGTAAGTGCAACACTGACTTTACCACAATACACCAAAACCACCCAAAACACTTTACTTTTGCATTGGACGCGCGTTTCGCTAAAGCCGGTCCTAAACGATGCGTCCAATATATTTGGCAAGTGTGTCTCCCACACAATGTGGTAAATGTCCGTGTGTCCAACGTTGGAAGGTGTTTGACACATCGTGTGGGACCGGCTTAACCATAGCGTCATCAGCACATGATTCAAAACTGAGTTAACGTGTGTCGAAACGCGCATCCACTGCAAAAGTAAAGTGTTTTGATGTATTGTGGTAAATTGGTGTTTTATTTTGCTGTTTAACACCAAAAATCTTCGGAATTTTTAAACTTTTAAGGTGGCATTTTAATGAGAATATATTTGCCCAACTTTGCCTTCAAATCCTCGTATCTCTTCTATTTTCCGAAATCCCGATATGATGAAGCTCGAATTTAGAACGCCCTGTACATATTTAAGTGCCGGGTAATTGGATATATTCATAAGTCATATTTTGCGGCCCCACTAATTTCATTTATTTTATATGCTACCAAAAAACTTTAAATATAAATATAATAATAATGAATATAAATTTTTATTATAATAAAATTAAGAATAATTTGCACTTAAACAAAATTAAATAAAATTTTATTTAATTTTAATAAATAAAATTAAATAAAATTTTAAATTTATAAAATTAAAAATTATAATTTTAAACAAAATTAAATAAAATTTTATTTAATTTTGTTTAAGTGCAAATCTAAAGTATGTACGAAAATGTATTTCAGGAAAATATTTTAACTTCTATAGGGTCGCTCAAAAGAGTGTGAGTCGATCGTGATGATTTTTTTTAAATGGAACACCCTGTATCTTATTGCATTTTTGGCTTCCTTTCAGATCACTTTACATAATCCTAAGATAGAAGTACATATATTTCAATAGTTTCAGAGATATTAATAAATAAATAAAAAATATATATTTTTCCGCCCTTCTTAAAAAGATTATTACAAATACAAGAACATGTCCTGAAATCAAAACTATATTAGGTATTTACTTTAAATGGTATATACTTACTTTGCTATAAATTTCGTAATCTTAAATCATACAGGGTGTTGAAAATACTATGCCAAACTTTCTAAAATATAAAATAATTTTTCTTTGTCTTTTTTTAAATAGAACACCCTGTATGTTATTTTTTCAATAGACGGTGAATTAAACAATGAACATTTTTTGTATTTAAAGTATTTCAAAATTTTTAATGGCTTCGCATATACACGCAGTATTATTTCATATGGCTGTTTCAGCGATAAAATACGAGAGAAAAGTCATTGCGTGGCTTTGATAAAAAATTACTGTGGAAAATGCCATATGAAATATAAAACCGGGAAATATAAAATTTCTATATCTGTAAAACATTAAAAATTTTGAAATACTCTAACTACAAAAAACGTTCATTTTTTAATTCTCCATCTATTGAAAACATAATATACTGGAAAAACGAAGAAAAAATATCTTATATTTTAGAATGTTTGGCGTAGAATTTTGAACGTCCCGTATGATTTATAATTACGATATTTATAACAAAGTATGTACAGACCATCTAAAGTAAATACCTAATATAGTTTTGGTTAATATAGGAAAGGCTGAAAAATATATATTTTTTATTTATTTATTAATATCTCTGAAACTATCGAACTATATTTACCCATATCTTAGGATTATGTTAAGTGATCTGAAGGGAAGCCAAAAAAGCAATATTATACAGGGTGTTCATCCCAATCCAAAAAACATCCCAATCCACTTACACTTCGACTTACACTATTTTGAGTCACCCTGTAGAAGTTAAAATATTTTCCTGAAGTACATCCTAGTACATACTTTAGGTTTGCACTTAAACAAAATTCCCAAGTTTTTTATTCTCGGAGCTACAGACTACAGATGCCCGACGCACTATTGCCGAACCATGTATTTTTAGTATCTTGATAATTTGGCGAAGGTAAGATATAAAAAAGTAAAGAAATAAAAATTTAAAAAACAAAATAATAAAGATGATTATTTAATAATCATGAGCACAGTTTACATTTTTTGGTAAAGTAAGTCTTTCTGGATCTATTTCATATGACGTTAACATTTCGTATATTTTTGCTCGAACTTTTACACATATGTCCTTTTTCCGAGCCCAAATCCAAACTAAATCTATAAAAGAACTTTATTTAAAATATTGTTGCAATTTATAAACATAAACTTACCCATATGAATTATTTGAAAATCAGTGCAAGAATATAATACCGCGTAGTCGTTGTAATCAGTATCCAGAACTTGATAAAATCCTGCTCCAGGTAGATAACGACTTATAAATCGGGGAAGCTTACTGCTTACTCTGTATAATAAGATGCTTGGATCTTTCCTGGATGGAGTAGCAACTCCTTCACTTATCGAGTATGTCCCGGATCTAAAAAAAATATTTTAATTAGATTAAATGCCTAATTCCTTCAAATAATATATTTTTTTAATACTAATAATTGTTACATAGGTATACGATACATAATTATTATATACCGTAAGTTCTAAAAAAAAAACTATATTTGTAGAAAGCACTCTTTAAAGCTTTTGTAAAAAAACATGTCATATGATCAAGCAGACAGACTTGGAGAATAAAAGAATTTTAATGTTTTTAATTTTTTTTTAGTTTTTTAATTTTAAGTTTTTTCATATATACAGGGTGGCGCACCTCATTCGCCTCGGTTGATTATACAAAAACGGAAAGATGTAGAAACAAATTTTTTGTGGGTGTATGTGGAGAGGCAATGTGCATAATTTAAAATTATTTACAAATGTACAGGGTGTGTCAGAACTAGTTCAAAGTTATATTTTTTCTTATGGAACACCCGGTATATTATTTCATTTTTGGATTCTTGGGCATAAAATAAGGCATTTCTTATAAGGGTTTAATATGTTTAAATGCTGTAGTTTTTGAGATATTTAAAGATATTTAAATATGCATGCTATAATAATGTTACGGATTCCGTGGGTCCACTATTTAAACTCACGATAAAATACTTAACGAATTTATTTGTTTCACTCTGTACACACAACTTATACTATTTACAACACAACTTATGCAACTACTATTACTCTAACGGTATTTCGCGGTATTTTCAAACTTCAGACTATCTTCAGACTTCAGACTTCAAACTTCAAACTTGTCCAACTGTCAAAGCGCGGGCCTTATATACCCCCTGGCGGTTGTTTCTAGATTTTTCTAAAGAATTCTATAATTTTCTTTACTTTCTGGCGAATGCGCCAGGTTCCTCAATGCACGTTGCGATTTTTTAGCAGTATGCAGTTATGCAACCAGTAATACACCTTGACAATAATAAAGTTTGCCAAAACCCTGTACATTGCTTTTCAAAGTTAATTTTTGTGCTGAATTTGAAGCCAGAGAAATAAACTTTACTAGAAATTTTTATTGCTTCGTTAAATGTATATAGGAGTCTCAATTGCTGGTCTATTTTAATTATGTATTTTACTTCAAAACTTCGTTATTTCAAATACAACACTATTTTTTAAAATAATTTGAAGCAGATTTAAATGCTCTTTCAAACTAGGGTTTCCTATACCTATCTGGCTCAGATTTTGAGTAAAAAGCGATTTTTCAATAGAATGGCAATCAAGATGGCTGGTGTCGCCATGGCAATTTGCTAGTGACAGATAGTAGCTATTTTCAAAATTAACATTAGTTTATGGACTTTATTTAAATTTACAACACTTTGCTTTTATCTAATTTACCTACAATAGTTTAATAAGTAAATATTAATTATTTTATGAAGAAAAATACAGAAATACTTAGTTCCTTGATTGATATTACATTGACTTGTATATAGGTATATTGGATTTTCTATAAAAGAACTAATTAAAGCAAATTCATTTTCTTTACTTCCAACGACAGGTTTGTACCTAATAGGTTTTTCATATACCACACTATCAGCTCTGTGAAGTAGGAAAAGTAGTTTTTCAAAAGAACGCTTGTCAAAAAAAATCCTATTTGGATATATTTGAGCATAAACCCTTCAATTCAATTGTCCTCACAAAATAAAGTCACTTGTAACATATCCATTCCTTCCGCCAGCAGATACTGCTTCATTTTTCTTGATAAAATAATAAATACTTACTTGTTAACCTTATTGTAGGTAAATTAAATAAAAATAACCTGTTATAAGTTTAAATAAAGTCCATAAACTAATGCCGATTTTGAAAACAGCTACTTAACTAGTCTTAACACTAGTAGCTGTAAGTGTCACTAGAAAACTGGCGACACCAGCCATGTAGATTACAATTTTATTGATAAAATAATAAATACTTACTTATTAACCTTATTGTAGGTAAATTGAATAAAAATAACCTGTTATAATTTAAATAACGTCCATAAACTAATGTCAATTTTAAAAATAGCTACTAAAGTGTCACTAGAAACTTGCCACACATTGCGACACCAGCCAACTTGATTATAATTTTATTGAAAAATCGCTTTTTATTCAAAATCTGAGCTAGATAGGTATAGGAAACTCCAATATATTATGAAAGAGTATTTAAATCTGTTTCGACTTATTTAAAAAAATTCATAGTGTTGCATTTGAAATAACGAAGTTTTTATGTAAAATAAATATTTAAAATAGACCAGCAATGTTTGATACCCCTGTATACATTTAGGAAAGCAATGAAATTTTTTAATAACGTCTATTTCTCTGGCTTGAAATTCAGCACAAAAATTAATTCCGAAAAGTAATGTACAAGGTGTTAACAAACTTTTTTATTATAGCATGCATATTTAAATATCTTTAAATATCTCAAAAACCAAAGCTTTTAAACATATTAAACCCTTATAATAAATGCCTTATTTTATGTTCAAGAATCCAAAAATGAAATAAAATACCGGGTGTTCCATAAGAGAAAATATAATTTTGATATGGATCTTAGTTGTAACACACCCTGTACATTTTAAAATAATTTCATATTATGCACATTGTCTTCCCACATATACACATAAAATATTTTCTTTCTACATCTTTCCGTTTTCGTATAATCAACCGTGGCGAATGAGGTGCGCCACCCTGTAGAGTAGTGGACGTTCATCATAAATATTTTTGGTATTAATCCGTTGTTTAATATAATATATATAAGATATTTTTTCGATACTTCGGACCATAATTAAGTTTTGAATTTTATATAAAAAAATATGTTCTTGACAATATGGTGAATTGAATTTTAATTCGAAATTAGGTCTGAAATAAATTTTAATGGAAAATTACATGTACTTACACTAAACTTTTTGAAACAACACTAACATCTAATTGTCCTTTACTATTAACTTCGAGATCAACACTTACACAGCTAGATATGAGTTCCATAAGGTAAAATGATCTTTCTATTTCATACCAGTGTCCTGCAAACTATAAAATTATTATTTTAGTAATAAAAGAAAACATATTATTGTTTTTTTTAATGATTATAAATTAATAAGGTATGATGTATTTACAAAATAAGAAAAGCTACAAATTAAATTCACTTATCGTCCTATTTAATGGAGTGTTATCCTTAAATACCGCATGATCGATGATCGAGCAAAACCGGCGTCAACGATGGCTATGAAATGAAGATCGCTGTTATTTTATACAGGGTGGCCCATCGAAAACGTTCCGCAAGGCATAACGGCTAGGGTATTCTTTTTTTCAAAAAATCCAAAAAAGCGTCAATTTTGTTTGTGAAAACTTTTGCTTCAAAAATGATTGAAAAATCTTCAACCCTCTAAGCGGGGGTGTCATCCCCCAACTTTTTTCAAATAGGAAGGGGGGTTAAGTGGTGCCGCAATGAAAAGAGCTTTCTATTCTCTATATTTCCCCGCCTCGTTTTTGAAAATCGGTCGAGTCATTGAGAAAATATGAAGAATTGAAATATGAAAAATGTATTTAAACATTTTTCAGAGTAAATGATGAAGATAAATTCCTTCGGCCAATCTGAGGTTTTTTTATTATTTCTAGATGTTTACACATTTTTTCACTTGCCACAAGGTTGAACGATCAGGTGCGGTAGATGCTAGATAGCTGTTCTGTGACTTGTGCGTTGAAGTTCTTCTCAATATCGTTAAACTGACCTATAATAGAATTTCCAAAAATACCAGCCCACACGTCCAATTTCTGAGGGTTTTGTGTGTGCACCTCGTGAAAAACTCTGGGGTTGTCCTCAGCCCAGTACCGACAGTTGTGCCGATTAACTACACTGTTCAAAAAGAAAGTAGTTTACACACTTATCCGAAAAACACACGTTAAATAGGAAATTATTATCATTCGCCACTCGTTCACTCATAGTTTCACAAAATTGCAGGCGACGATCCAAATCGTCTTCGTTGAGTTCTTGTACCAACTGAATTTTGTACGGGTGGAACTTGTGTTTTTTTAATATCCTTTGGACACTTGTACGATTCACGTCGGTCTCATTGGCTAAGTTTCTTGTGCTCTATCGCTCTCTATTCTTGTAGCGTACATGGCAACTTGGCCCAATACAAATACCTCCATAGCTTCATTTACTACAGGATTTTCCCTCTGCCTCTTTTTATTCATAACGGAACCAGTTTCGCGAAATTATGCTACTAACTCGCGAACAATTTTGCCATAATGGTGTTTGTCAGGATGGCGTTCATTGAATATCTGCGCAACCCGATTGCCACATTCAATATTTTTAAAATAAAGTTCGATTATTTCCACTTTTTCTGCAAGTGAGTACACCATAATTGTTAAAAAGTTTAACGATATTGAGAAGAACTTAAGTCACAGAACAGCTATCTGGCAACTACCACACCTGATCGTTCAGCCTTGTGGTAAGTGAAAAAATGCGTAAACATCTAGAAATAATAAGAAAAAACAGCAAATTGGTCGAAGGAATTTATCCTTATCATTTACTCTGATAAATGTTTAAATAAACTTTTCATATTTCAATCCTTCATATTTTCTCAATGACTATACTTACGGAAAGTATAGAGAATAGAAAGCCTTTTTCATTGCCGTACCACGTGGCCCCCCTTCCCATTTGAAACAAATTGGGGGATGACACCCCCGCTTAGAGGGTTGAAGATTTTGCAATCATTTTTGGGGCAATAGTTGTCCCCCTCACAAACAAAATTGACGTATTTTTGAATTTTCTGAAAAAAAATTACCCTGGCCGTTATGCCTTGCGGAACGTTTTCGATGGGCCACCCTGTATATAAAATTATATGGGAAATGTCATCGATCGTCATTTCCAAGCCAACTGGACGCCCTTTTTTTCGATCATACAGTATTTATTATATTTATATTTCCAATACTATAAACTATAAAGTACAGGTTAAAATATTTTTTTAGGTGTTTAGAGATATAGATTGGTATTGGTGGAGATATACCTATGTAGACATAGATACAGACATACCTAAATTATTTATAGATGGAATATTTACTTGTTATTTAACACTAGAATTACAGAAGAAGAAATAAAAGACCAATAAGCAAAATTAGTTATGGTAACAATCTTAATTAAAAACATTAAATATTTAATTAAATTAATTATTATTAACGTTAAGATCATTAACGTTATTCAGTCTGTATAACAATTTTAATTTTATTTCATTTACTTATACGTTAATAATAAAAGTTTATTAATGAATATGTGTTTACTTCTGATAATATTTTTCTATTTCTATTTTATTAATTTCAATTTAATCTAGATAAAAGCATGCCTCAATTGTTATTTTGTTATTAATAAACTAATCCGAAATTGTTGACAAGAATATTAACTAACATAATTGTAAATTTCTTACAACTATTTGCTTTAAAAAAACAAGTAATAAATTATTTATATATTTTATTATTTCCAAATGTAGTAAGGATTATTTACATAGAATGGCTTTAGTATTCGATAGGTTACACATAAGTCAAATTTCATATCAACATCGACGTTTTGATAAATAAAATTTAATCAACCGAATTTTTGTTGCTTTTACTTCTGTCGCATATTTTTTTTCTGTAATTTATCTTTACCTATCTCGCGTCTGGTACAATTTAGAAAACCTGAGAATTTGAATATGTAAACATTTTGTTTACGGAATACATACAGTTTGATACAGATCGAATGTTCTTAACTATATATATGTCATAAGTTTTATGGTTACTGGAAAGACTGTTTCTTATGATATTATTTCTATATTAAAAATAGCTTTAGGGGGACCTAGGTCCTATGTATGATAATACCTCTCTGGTATCCGCCTGTGATTAATTTAATTAATATTTTAAAAGGATATGGTAAGGCACTTCACAGAGTGCTTTAAATTTCTTGTTCTGATAATACCATTGATACTACCGTATGATCGAATAAAAACAGCGTCAGTGACGGCTAATGAACATCCCAGGTCGCTGTCATTTTATATGTAAAATTATATGGGAAATGAAATCGATTGTCATTTCCAAGCCAACTAGACGTCATTTTTTTTTTGATCATACGACACAGCAACCATATACAGCTACTTTATATTTATTAACCTTTTATTTATAGTTTAAATATTATAATATTTAATTTTAATTTATATTATATTTTATTAATTAATCTTTTATTAATAATTATATATTTACTTATTTTATTATTTTATTATTATATACTTATTGATATACCTCAAGAAAAATGTACTATAGATATAACACTAAGACGACACGTTCAAAAATCTACATTCTAAAATAGTTATGCAATTAAAAATTAAGAATTTATTTAGAAAATATGTATTATTATGTGCCGAAGAGGTACGGTAATCGCAAAACATTTTCCCATGCACGTCATCAATCATATTGAATTTGACACTAAAGCCTATAAACCTGACTAAATGAAATTTTGGCAAAAATGTTTAAATTTGTTGTATAATTTCAGATACCGTGCAGCTCATCATTGTACTTCATAAAGCAAATGATTGTAACAGATATTTTATTTAGATTAAAGCTGCAAAAATTTTTAAAGCGATTTTTATTATCGCCATGTTGGTCACATTGCGCCGCGATCAGCAAATCTAAAAATCTTTAAAAAATTATATAATAAATATATTGTTTCTTAATTTTACATTAAGATTCATCTGATAAATTCATCACAATATGCCAGCGCTGTCACTCACGTGCATCGGAAATTGTTTTGCGATTACTTTATGTAGGTATACTCTGTTCGATACCAGAATATATGACAGTGACAGCTATTATCTGTCATTTTATTTCAAAAGTAAATGATTTTTCTGTCATTTTGTCATGTTTTCTGTCGAAATCTTCCCTTTTGTTGCTGAACAGACTTTACTTCGAACTGTATGTTTAAATACGAGGGATTAAATAGAAAAAAATACTATCAATAAATAAATTTTGAATATTTTGGAGAATTAAAATGGACTTATATGTATGAGAAACAAAGAAAAGAATAGTAGGTAATTTTAAAAAAGGTTAAAATATAAGAAGTAAAAGAAGCAAGCAAGAAGCTTTATACTCACTCTGGTTACGTTAAAATGTTTGATATAGTCAATTTTTGGACAGTTGCCCAATCCATATCCAAAGGTACTTTTAATCAAATCCAAGCCAAAAACTAGCAGGACCGACCATATCCAGGTAAATGATTTAACCATTTTACGGTTTGCACTGGAGTAAATACATATTTCTTGATCAATCTACAATGTGTTCATCGGAAAAGAAGGACTATTGAAGCGGGTACGCTCTCGATCCGTTGAAATTATTGACTGATTGATATATGGAGTTTAACAAACCGCTTTTGTTTTTTAATGAGCGAGTAGCATAGCTGCGCTTTAGTATTAATGTTATTCAATTTCGGCTTTGGTCGTCTGTAAAATAGTGTATTAGATACAATTTTAGTACAAAAAGGTGAAGGCTTTAACCTATATAGCCATAACATTTTTTCTATTCGAAAAAAGTAGTGCAACTTTGTAATGAATTTGAGAAGTTGTATCTAAAATGTCTAATTAGATATATTTCAACTGGAATTAATTACAAAATATCAATTTTGAATTGAAGTGATGATTATCTTTCATCAACAGCAATTAACCTTTTATTATTTAATTAATCATGATTAAATAAGTTGAATTTGAAGAATCATTGTCATGTTTATTTTCTTTTGGCTTGAAAATTGATAAGTGCTTAATTCAAAAATAAGAACCGAAAGAATCTAAACGAAAAAATATTTGATTTTTTATATTGATTTCCAGATGTTTAATTATTATCAAAACATGAAAAGTAGAAACAAACTACAAAAAATAGCTGTCACAGAAGTTTCCACTCAGTATTTATAGCAAATAGTGTTACAAATATTACAATAAAACAGAGCACGTTAAAAAGAATAGCCAGTAGAAGGGAAAGACCGTTCTATAAAATAACAAAAATATTAAAGACAATTCAGAACTATTCGTACTCTGGATTAAAAAATACCGCAGTAGAACACGTATTGTAAGTTTTTTTAATAAATGGTTTGCTTTTAAAAAAAAGCAATTGAGGAGTTGAGATACCAAAGGGGGTAAGTGCCAAAATTATTTTTTCGAGATAAATGAGAAAAACGCAGTAAAACTGAAAATAATAAATTTTTAAAATATCTTTTAAAATACATATAATATACACGAAAAATGGACGCTTTCGCTAGGCACTTCTAACTTTTGTTAGGACATGCAGTATGGTATTTATTACGTTTCTAATGCAATAACTTAATATTGAAAAATTTGGCACTTACCCCTTGTGGTATTTCCACTCTTCAATTATTCTAATGTATGCCCTTTTAATTTGATTATCTACCAACATGAATACAACCTCTTTTCCTAGTATTCAATAAGTAAATTTGTTGTAACATCTTAATCAGGGTTTCCGGAACCGGAGTTGTTTTTCGGAACCGGGAATTTCGGTACCGCGCCCCTTAGGAACCAGGATGTCTCGGTTTTCTTGGTACTTTTGACACTAACTGATTTTAGTTCAATGATGGGTGCAGTTCATCAATTAGAAAGCAAAAGATGGTTTTCCAAAGTAAAAAATTCAGATTTTTAATGAAAATATCAAATTATTAAGTAAGTAGTCATGAGAAAGTTAACATGAACACAAGCAAAGAAAAAATATGGATAACTTAAAATTCACATCGATTTCAAACCAATTCCAAACCAAAACAACATAAACCAATTTAACTAAATTTGAGAAAAAAGCCCTACATTTTTAAATTAAGAATTCAAATATCTATTAAAACATAACATTAAAATATAACTAATACATTGAACAACACATTATACTAAACCATAAAATAACATATTTAAACTTAAAAAATTGCTAATAAACATTATAGAAAATTCACCGGCAGTCTTCTTTCTACACCCTTCAGAGTAATGAATCAAAAAATTTCAATGTATAACCTATCGTGTGAATGAATTAGGACATTAAAAAAATAGCAGACACAAGAGTTCCTAAAATGATAATGGGACGTGAAATAGGAGGAAAGAGAAAAATCAATAAAAAATCTATAAAAGAAAGGCTAGACTGAGAACCAGATGGAAAAGAGATGTTGGAGAGCTCTTGAAAAGGATAAAAGTTAATAGTTGGATTGGTTGGAGATTAAAGAAGTACAGAAATAAGTGGGAGAATATAACTAATCAAGCGATGAACATTTTAGGCTTTTAGAGTTATTTTATATAATCCTGTTCCTAGGCAAAAATTTAGACAACGAAAACCTACAAAAGACCATTGAAGACGAAGAAAAGAATGAGATGATAAATGTAGGTATGTTTTGAATATCCGTATGTTATATATTAACAGTCCTTAATATTACCGATGGTCAGTAACAAATGTATTTTACAATATTTATACGTTTAAAAATTGAATTATATGCGATATTATAACGATCGTAATATAACGGAAGATAAAAAACCGTGTCCCAAGTCTAATTTTATCCCTAGAAAATGCCATTAATGTCACTTGTAGGTTTTAATCCGTATAATTCATTCAAACGGCGATTCCAGTCAATAACCGACCCACTTTTCAAAACACACACTTACTATCGCAACAACTTTGAAGTTTGATTCGAAAAAAATCCTACGGTAACTATATTACAATCCAATCTATTATGAAAATCTCCCACATATACGTATTGTTGTCAGCGCTAAATTCAAAGCTGTCTTATTTTGTTGATACTTGAACAATATTAGAAAAATAGATGGTTATTTTCAATTAAATATGGAAATAATGTGGATTTTTTGCAAATATTGTGAACCTATAACTTTCGATTCTTTTTCGTGATTTCTTCTTCTTCTATTAGCAAGGAGCTCAAAATTATTTCTTGTTTGTTGTCATTCATTGTAGAGAAATATTAAAAAAAACACACTTATCACCGCAGACAGGACTCCGGAAGCGACTGATGAGAAATTCGATTGGCAAATGCGGGTGTAGTAGGGGCAAAAAGAAACAAAATAGCAAATAATGCGGCGCGTTCGGTACGACTCAGTATGCGCGACAAGAAAAAAAAGTGCGATTCGTGCGGCGAGTGCGGCGCTGGTCAGTGTGCGCGTACCTTTAGAGTTACAGGATGTTAAACCATAGTTTAAGGAAAAAGGTTTCCTTATACTATGGTTAAACCTTTTTAAAATTAGGTTTTTTGTAATAATTATCTTAAATACCATTATATTTTATTTAAAATTGCTGTAGTTTAGAGTAATAGTAATAATAACTACTAGTAATAATATTTAATAATAAATTAGGTAAAATATATAATTTATTAATTTTATTTTTATTTTAATTTTAGCTGGCTAAAACATCATTTTTTAATTTTCAGTAATTAAACAAGAATGAAAACGGTACTACGGGTCAGTGTCACTTTAAGTATATCCCTATGAACAAGCAACTTTTGTCATCTTAGAAAATACAAAAGCAAAACGGAGTATGTTGTGAATGTACTCTCTGAAATAAACAATTTAAAATGTAATTACTCAATGGTTGAACGACTGTATAAAAAAAACTTAGGTAGGTAGTTTGACGAGATTTTAAGTTGTGAATTAAAGCTACTATGTCTCCACATTTGCACGTACATACATACTAAAAGAGAATCAAGGCTTATATAAACATATCAAACATAAGACTTTTTAACCATTCTACCAGTTTTTTAACAATTCCATGATTTTTAAAATATTATTGTGTTTTCTTTACTGCGCCCATAGACTTGTAGCATAGTTTAAGGAAAAGAGTAGTTGCACTCTCGCAAATATTTTCTGCCAGTTTTTGCAATCTGTCGAATATCGGCAGATTGCAAAGCGTTTCAGTTGAATTCCGTCCGTCGAGCTGCGAGGTTCGAGCGTTGCGTCCTAGCACAGAATACTGAGTGCCTGACAAAAAATGAGTGCCTTACTCTGTGTTAACCACGACTAGACTTTGCCTAGTTAATAGACCACGACTATACAGCTACGTCAGTGGTCACGGGAGACGAGAACAAGGTCATATAAAGTGGCAGAAAAGAACAAAGGATTTGACAAGGAGTAAAGCTACTAGTTTCCTTATACTATGCTTGTAGTACATGGCTCGCAGTGATGACGATAGAGTTTATGTCAGAAGAAGAATAATGTAAATGAATTAATAAAATAATTAAGTAATGTGGTCAGACGTAGTTTGCAATGGATTTCAAAGGTTCACCTTTTTGCGTATTACTTAAAAACTTACTTTTTTGCACACTTAAAAAACAGTTTAAATGTTATGCAGTTTGGCTATTTGCCTGATTTTTTCTGATAATCCTTTTATATAGAATCATCACGAAAGACAGTATCTTCTTCAGGCTGTCGAACCAGTGAGTCTGGGCACAAATGTTATAACTGAGAAAACACTAACCGCTTTTAGAAACTCAGCGTATATGACGTTAATTTTCGCTTATCGCGCACTTAACTACCGATTTGGGTATTCTCATGTGTCGCGCTTAGCGTCTTTACTGATTGCGCTAACGATTCGCAAAACGGCTACCTTAAAGGATCGTTTTGCTTCTCGAACTGTCAGCAAAAATAAAAAAAATTGTAATTTTGTGCGTTCTCTTGCTCTTTAGTGAAAACTACTTCTTCTTCTATAAATTCCTCAACAAGGTAATTGATAACACAAGTTTACAAATTCGGGTCAACTTTTGGACCCGAGCAGATGAGAACGATTCTTAACGTTATTTGATGCCCTGAACTCAGATCTTCAATCCGTTTGTCAAGATTGGATCTAGTTTTCGAGTTCGTGCATGGCAGTAGCACTGGGCTCTTATAGCGGCCCGGGTAGTTGACGCACGGTCAGTTGACGACGTTGCATTAAACATCATTTGGATTTGTATTGTGGTTGTGCTGCGGAACGTGTGAAAATGCAGAGGGAACGTTGCAAAAGCCAATCAAAGCCTCAATCGCGAAGGACCGGCTTTCCAGTACTTAACCAAGTTGTTTCCAAAACTGTCATATGCAAAAATCAAAGAAGGACTATTTGTCGACCTGATATTTGAAAACTAATGGTTGACGCAACGTTTACAAAATGTTTAACTCTTGATGAAGCAGCAGCATGGGCATCGTTTCAAAGTGTTGTTCACAACTTTCTCGGTAATCACAAATCACCGGATTACAAGCAGGTAATCGACAATTTGTTGCAAAATTACCACAAGATTGGAGCTCGAATTTTTTTTCCACAAAACTTGGGCGACACGAGCGACGAGCAAGGAAAGCAGCTACACCAAGATATAGCGAAAATCGGAAGGCGCAAAGCCATGATGAGCGATTACTGTTCGACCCTAATCCGTGAAACACATCCCAAGCAGTATAAAAGACTCAGTTCGACCTCTGTTCATTTCTGATTTATATTGTTTAATTCAATAAATGACCGTTAACAGACGAAAATAGTAAAATAATGAATTTATTGAATATTTCGAAAACTAGAACCAATCTTACAAAATGGACTGCTGATTTCGATTCAGCTCCAAAAAATATCTTAGAAATTGCTTTTAGTTGCTCAGGTCCAAAACCGTGTATACTTGTGTAATTTAGGACTTGGCAGCTACAAATATTGTTCAAAACATCGAAATTGGTGAGAAGCGCCTTCAACATTTCCCTCGTATAATAAGAATAATAACATATCCATAGAAAAATAGGTTGACATAACTCAACAATAGGTTATGAAATGTATATAACGTTGATATTCATTTTTTATTGTTTTATCCCTTGGTTTTATCCACATTTGACTATTAGATACCTGAGAAATTACGATACTGCCAATGTGCTCAACGCGTATCCAGAAAACGATTCGTACGGCAACGTTTTTATGTCAAAGTTCCAGAATTCGGGCCCTGATCTGCAATTCCAAATAAGCATGTTTGTGTTCAGTTATAACCCATTATACAGTCTCAGGGCTTCGACAAAAGCCGGTATCTGAGACAGTTTATCCGATATCAGTCAGCCAGTATCCGATATCAATCAGTATCAAAGTTTATGGCACGAATGGTTATCGTCTTAGCGCACACAGTGATGATGTGTTCTGGTGCTTCACCATTTTCTCCACAAAATCTACATTCGTCGTTGTTTCTTATCTTCAGTCTACTGTGGTGTTCATTTTGGGATACAGTGCATGTTATAAACCCCGTGACAATCCGAAGATTGTTCTTAGTTAAATCAAGGAAAATCTTTGATTTTTCTCCATCGTAAGTTCTGAGAAATGTTTTCGAGTGTCTTGGCCGTTCGGGGTTTCCCATCCCATTCCAGGTTACGGATGGAGTCTACCAGGTTTTTGAGTTCCATTTTAAGTTGGTTTCCAGTTGGGTATCTGAACGGTTTTGGTGCAGTTAATGGCGTATTCGCTCCTTTTTTAGATCGTTCGCTTTTTCATTGCCTTCTATCCCTTGATGGGCTGGCACCCAGAGTAGGAAGCCTTTATTTTCTTTGCTTAATTTGGTCAGCAGCTCTAAAACTCTAATGATGCTTTATTTCCTATCTAAGGTAAGTTGTACGCATCTTTCGATATCGTAGATTTCTGCCTATGCCATACAACTGGTTCAGAGTATTTAGTTTACGGCCCAAATACTCCTCTTCCTGTTCCTGCTTTAATTTTGGAAGCATCAGTATACTAATTTTTTGAAAGTACAGTATACCTTCTTCCAAATTCTTTTTGTTGCTCAATACTACAGTGAGGTGTTCCTGAAAGTTGTACATTCTTGGTATATAATATATCATCCACTATGAGCTGGAGGAGTGGAATTTTCATTTTGAGGGTGTTCCAAGCTCCTGAGCTCCTCTTCACTAGTAAATATTATGTCGTCTCAAGTACAAAATAGTGCTGTACTTGATAACGATTTACAACAATCGAAACGCTGCACTGACCTATTAAAACTTTAAAACTACAGGTAATAGAAGCCTAAAATAATTTATTAAATAATGTAATACTAATAGCAAATTAGTACTTCCACCCCTTCTATTGTAAACGTAACAACGCAATTCTCAGTAAAATTTTGCCTATAATTTTCGATTTTCCAGTTTCAGCGTCGGCTAGAATTTCGAATTTCTTATGCTTCAAGCTTCATAACAACAATGGGTGCAATGTTGTTGTTCGTTCGTTTCTTCCCCCGCAACTATTCTGAAATCGTTCTCGGAATGTAATGTAACAGAGGATCCGAATAGAAGTCGTGCAAGAGCTGACCTTGGTTGGATTATAATGTTACAGCGAGAACAACGCTAGGCACAATGACAAATAGATAACTCCAACCCAAGAATACGTTAAACGATAACGTCATTTATTAATATCGCTCTAACATTTCATGGTTTTAATCATACTGAGTAAAACATTTAAACATAAAATACATTTTGTATGAAATTAGTAAAACAATGGTCAAATATAAAAAAAATATCTTATTAAAATACTGGAGTTTTATACAACCTGTTGGCTTTCTTACATTAGGACTACTCCTTAAATATTGGTTGGCATCAATGGCATCAATTTTAAATGAATTCAAGCACGACGAAATACCTGCAACTTCAACTTCAACTGTAGACTGATGTCAAAATCCTGTTGTTTAATCTAAACAGATTGAACAACAGGCCCGTTACTGGGGTATTTGGCGCCTACGTGCAGCATTCTTTGGTGCGCCCTTTTATACAACAAGCAATATGTAATTGGAAATGTAAAAAAAAAACTATTCTAATTAAAGTATAAAAACATTTATTAAATAAATAAAACAAACAAAACCACAAATATTTAGTAACAAAAATAGTACCCTAAAGAAAAACTGACCCATTTTATATGAAATACATAAAAACAATAAACTAAAATTCGGAAATAATACACATGCACTGATTTCTTTCGAAAATCGACAACTATGAACCCTTCCCGGACACACACGGTACATTGTGAGACAGGAAATTGTAGAGAGACAAGCCCTATATCATAGGATGCAACATTTTAATGAACAGTGCTTTCCATAAAATCAATAAAATGAAAAAAATACGAAATAATATACATGTACTGATTTCTTTCGAAAATCGACAACTATGAAACTATGATCCCTTCCCCGACACAAACAATACATTGTGAGACAGGAAATTGTAGAGAGAAACAAGCCCTATAACATAGGATCAACATTTTCATGAACAGTGCTTTCCATAAAATCAATAAAATGAAAAATATACGAAATAATATACATGTAGGTACTGATTTCTTTCGAAAATCGACAACTATGAAACTATGAACCCTTCCCGGACACAAACGGTACACTGCGAGAAAGGAAATTGTAGAGAGAAACAAGCCCTATAACATTGGATACAACATTTTAATGCACAATGCTTTCCATAAAATCAATAAAATGAAAAATATACGAAATAATATACATGTACTGATTTCTTTCGAAAATCGACAACTATGAAACTATGATCCCTTCCCCGACACAAACGGTACATTGTGAGACAGGAAACTGTAGAGAGAAACAAGCCCTATAAGATAGGATACAACATTTTAATGAACAGTGCTTTCCATAAAACGAATAAAATGAAAAATAAATAGACGAGATCAATGTGTTGCCGACAGATTGCCCTAGACTTGCTTATTCGGTGCGGCCAACGCAAAAAAGACGCTAAGCAAACTTTATCCTATGATGGTTTAAGTATTTGTTTATTGGCAAGAAATCGTATCGGTTTTTTGTTACAAAGTACTGATTGACCCTTTGATTTTGCGCCCCCAAAATGTTACGCCTACGTGCGTGCACGCACTGCACGCTCGCCAGGAACGGCCCTGTTGAACAAGATACGAGTAGACACTCGTATCTTCATGAGAGAACGAATCTCTGGTTCAATAGATGAACCAGAGATTCTTCATGGTAAAATTGATGTTAAGTGACACGTTATTTAGGTGTGACAGGAACTGATATAAAATCTGTTTAACTTTATTCAAAATTATAAATGTGTTTCATTTTAATGGCTGAGGCTTGAGGTAACTAGGATTTAAACCATTCCAAGTTAATATTAGTCATAGTCACAGTCATAATCCCACTGATAAATGTACTTTTTGTGATAAAGAATTGTCGGTGACTTGGAAGTACTGGTGCATTTCTGAGACAAATTTCAAATAAGTCCATAACTGCATTCAGTTGCTCACAGCATTACAATACAGACTTAAATAGAAATACAGAGTAGTCGTATCCTGATCCTGTAGGAATAATTGCTTTCGAGCTTGGTACTAATGATGTGAGGAGATTTTGTGTTAGGTAAGTTTCTGTATAAGGTTACAACATCAAAACTAACAAAAAATAATTGATTTGTTATCCTGTTGCTGATTGAAAGAGTGTCTGAAAATCCTCATCAACGATAAATTCTTAACATGTAATAACTGGATTCTTGCCATGGAACCAAGTATTTTGCTCATATATCGGAGCATTTGTAAAGCTGGTTTTTGGTTGTAAATAAGGTGATTTACTAGCTATGATGATAAGTTGGTGATGACTTTTCCTACCTGTTATATAGTGCCAAAGTTTCCGTAACTTCTGATATATTTTTTCTCTTGATAGATGATCGGGATGGTTCTATTTTGAGCAATTTATAACTGCCTTGGATGAGTGTACCAATACTACGCTACCATTACTGGTAATGAGAGCTTGTAAATGGATTTCTATACCGCCCAATAAGAAACTAAAAAATATAGCTTCCTGCACCCTCAAGAGCAGGTTAGAAAAAGAAACAGTGTTTAAAAACTTTATCGTTACGTTATTATTTTCGGTTATACGATAGCTTCCCAATCGATGGAACCAGAGCTCTATAGCTAAGTTTTAAAAAGGTGGTGCTCCTTCCTTCGGCGTCGAACCTTCTGTAATTATTGTTGCGGCGACTCTCGCGGTGAAAAAAAGCGTTCAGACCGCACGGCACAGTCGACGCTCGTTCCTAAAGAAAGTTACGCCACAGCGTGAGAACCGACCAAAAATATATCATGTGAACCGAGCAGTAAAAGCAATTTTTGTTTCGAAAAAACGGACAATGCAAGCATGTAAACACACCCCTAAGTAACTCCGAGCCACCGCATCGTAAGTAAGTACCTTAAAATTATCATTTTAGAATTAGTGGCTCATAGTACTACCGAAACTGGTTTAGATTTAATTAAGCATTGACCAAAAGTGCGCACACGTATTTAATATAACGCGCATTTAAGATTGTTTATCGTTTAAAAATAAAACGCAATTATTTTCATAAATTTTAAGTTAAGTTTCGCGGCGCAAAGGATTAATGGAGTCAGTTTGATGAATGAAAATCTTGGAAAATATTAATAAACAACTGTTTTTTTTATTTTGAATGTTTTATGCATATCAATTTAATGAATTTTCCGTTATAAAGGGATATTTTTTTTATTTCATGAGGATACACGTCTAGATTTGACTATATTTCTATTAAATTTAAATAATTATTTAGGGACAAAACAAACTTCATTCTTTATTAACATCGTACGTATTAATAAAAAATAATTTTTCAGTACTCAGAGATGTAGGCAATTATTCTTGCTCTATAATTATAGCTAAATACTAGCAATGCAACAATCTTTGAAAGTGCTTGATATTCCCATCAGTGAATGATTGAAAATCTTCATTGATGTTAATAAAGAACAGTTCTTTTGTTTGATGGTTTAGCCATTATTGAATCAGCATTTGAAACTAGTGATATATTGATCTATTATCTCTCTATTCTGTTTGAGTACGTCGTCTATATATTCTCACGTTTTTTTAATTTTCTCTAAAACGGTATAGAAATTTGGAAAAGTATAAACGGGATTAACCATTTACATAGAACAAGCAAAAACTTTTCTGAAGAATGCATTTTTCTGAATATGTCAATACAATAAAAAAGTGTTTCCTCTTGTAAAGACAATCCGGGGACATACTGTATAAACTAAATATAATATTTTATAATAATATATTATTTTAACGATTTTTTTATCTCCATGACATCTCTCATTTCTCGAATATAAAAAATACTTTTAGCAAATAGAGAAGGCACCCACAATTACTCTATAATCATAGCTTAGGATTACAGGTGTAAAAACATTAAAAGTGTGTATTCATAATTAACAGATGTCAGTTTGATCAATGAAAATCTTCGTAAACATTGATAAATAACGTTTCCTTTTTGGTTTGGTTGTTTTATGCATATTGTAAAAAGGCATTAGCATTTTGAACTGGCTCTAAACAGATCTATCTTTCTTGGATTTTATGTGGGTCTTATATTTAAGGTTAAACAAAAAAAAATAGATATGCCCTATTCCAGTAACTTAAAATGTGCTTATATTTGAACTATTTTTACTTTCTTATCGACCATCATATCTTGCAATTATTTAAGAAATGTATAATCAAATTCAATCAGGTGTAACAATGACATTTAAGTAGTTAAATAAGTTTTTAACATGTATTACTCATAACAACCACTTAGCAATAGAGTACTAAAATTTTAACAAACATCTTGTTTAACTTCTGTATGTCGTAAAATGGTTGTTTTGAATAATAAATAATTCTATTAAATATAACTTTTGTCTCTTTTTTTCGCCGTGAAGATTTTAATATCGTAACGTCACTATACCAAACATTTTCAAATTTAAATCTATAAGATATGATATAAAAATAGAAAAAAGATTTGGAAAATGTATAAAAGTTTTATACATGGAAGTTAGAGATAGATATTTGTGTCTTTTTATACATTTTTAGGATGGTTTTACGGCTAAATTAATAATTAACATACAGGGTCCGGCAATAGTGCGTCGGGCATCTGTAGCTCCTAGAATAAAAAACTTGAGAATTTTGTTTAAGTGCAAACCTAAAATATGTATCAGGATGTATTTCAGGAAAATATTTTAACTTCTATAGGGTGGCTCAAAAAAGTGTGAGTGAACCTGGATGATTTTTTTTTAAATGGAACACCCTGTATATTATTGCATTTTTGGATTCCTTTCAGATCACTTTACATAACTCTAAGATATGAATAAATATATTTCGATAGTTTCAGAAATATTAAAAAATAAATCAAATATATATATATTTTTTTCTACGCCAAACTTTCTAAAATATAAAATATTTTTTCTTTGTTGTTTTAAATGGAACACCCTGTATATTATTTTTTCAATAAACGGAAAATTTAGAAATGAACATTTTTTGTACTTAGAGTATTTCAAAATTTTTAACGGTTTCGCAGATACACGCAGTATTATTTCATATGGCGCTTTCAATGGTAAAATACGAGAGAAAAACCATTGGGTGGCTTCGATAAAAATTTACTGTGGAAAATGCCATATGAAATATAAAACTGCAAATATCTGCAAAACCGTTAAAAATTTTGAAATACTTTAAATATAAAAAATGTTCATTTCTAAATTCTCCGTTTATTGAAAAAAACGAAGAAAAATTACATCCTGTATGATTTACGGTTTTCATATTTATAGCAAAGTAAGAACAGACCATCTAAAGTAAATACCTAATATAGTTCTGATTTCAGAACAGTTCTTGTATTTTTAATATTTTTTTTAAAAAGGGCTCAAAAATATATATTTTTGATTTATTTTTTAATATCTCTAAAACTATCGAAATATATTTATTCGTATCTTAGGGTTATGTAAAGTGATCTGGAAGAAATTCAAAAATGCAATAATATACAGGGTGTTCCATTTAAAAAAAATCATCCAGGTCCACTCACACTTTTTTGAGCCATCCTATAGAAGTTAAAATATTTTCCTGAAATACATCTTGGTAAATACTTTAGGTTTGTACTTAAACAAAATTCTCAAATTTTTTATTCTAGGAGCTACAGATGCCCGACGCACTATTGCCGGACCCTGTATAGTAATTTTTGGTTACTTTGCCTTTAGGTTCTATTTCTTTTAATTAAAACAAATTAGTTATTGACGTTTCGCCAATTTATTTTTGGCATCTTCAGAAATATTTATTTGCCTTATTTCTATGGTAAAAGTCATTAAATCTATATATTAAAAAACAAAACACTTAGAAACTAATACATACAGTAAAGTAAGTAGTACGCACCTACATCGTATTTAAAAAAAAATTGTGACTTCCTTTTTCATCAACTATTAATAATTACAGTTGAGGGTTGGAATCTTTGGTGTTACACAACAAAATAAAACACTAAATCACCACAATACACCAAAACACTTTTACTTTTACACTGGACGCGCGTTTCGCCAACCATGTTAGGATCATCAACAGATGATTATAAACTATATCACAACCAGTTTATATATATCTGCTGATGATGCTAGCATGGTTAGCGAAACGCGCGTCCAGTGTAAAAGTAAAAGTGTTTTGGTGTATTGTGGCGATTTTGTGTTTTATTTTGTTATTAATAATTAACAATATCCTAGCCAAAGATAGCAAAAATACCATAGCAGTGAAAGAGAAAAAGAAATGAATAAAAAATATAAACTCCTGTAATTTAAAAATATACTGTGCAGTAACAGTAGATGGTAGATAACGGGTGTTTTTCAAAAGTAGTCACCTCTATAACTTTTTTATTTCTTCAGATAAAAAAAACGAGATTTGGTAGGGTTAGATATGACATATATGGCGATTAATTGATTGTATTTAATTAGTTTCCTTCACTTTCTGTTTCACCAGAAATGGCTACAACTTATGATTTATAAATTATTGATTTTTATCTTATTTGATAAAAAAATTATATTCTGAATGGAACGACATATCATATTACGTCAACTTTTGACATTTTCAATTAAAAAAGTAACATTTAAATTTCTATCTACAGTGCCATTGCTATAAATATAACGACAAATCGAAATATCAAGTAATACCAAATTATTCATAAAAATGCCTTTCCCAAATACTAATCAGCCACTCTACTTTCTTTCTGAAAAACTTGAATTATGATTAAAAATACGAGTTGGGTATCTTTTAAACCGAAAGGAAAAGAATCCTTAAATTATCAAATCCATTTTTCCAAATCTCTTGATTAAAAATTAATAGACTTAACACAGCCATGACACTCTAAAATGTTATTTTTATAACTGAAAATGTCAAAAATTCATTTACTCAAACGTCAATGTTGCCATATATGATATGCCATTCTATTCCGAATATTATTTTCTATAATATAAAGTAAAAAAATACCGAGAGGGTACTTTACCGAGGGTAAACTACAAAATTTGTAGTTTGTAAATATGAAAGTAACTGAATACGTTAATTATTCCCGATTTATGACACATACTAACATACAAACGTTGTTTTTTTTTCTCTGAAAAAATAAAAATGTTATAGGGGTGAGTTACTTTTGTGAAACAACCGGTATGCCCTAAAATTGACTGTAACTCTTTTTCTAAATTTTTAAATAAAGTTTATGAATCTAGTCTATCAAAACTGAGAGCTAGCTCCATTACGGCTTCGCATAAAAATACCGATACTTATATTCTAGATTGAATTTTTAATTATTTTTATTATTATTTTAACTAATGAATTATTCATTTCTAATGTTCTAAGTATTCAATCAAATACAGAAGTATCTGACTACTCGCATACGCGGAGCTGACCGGCTTGTACTGAAAAGACTGTGATTCGCGCATTAATAATTTTTGTTTCAACTGCTTAATACATTTATAGGCATCAATTATTTCTGTTTAACATCAATAACAGATACGGAATTTTCAATATAATAAAAAAAATAATTATTACTAAAGTAGATACTAGACCGAGAGAGCTGGCTACATAAAAAACCTTATCATAGTTACATGGCTAATTTTTTGTGTGAAGTATCCTTTTGTGTAGCCATTGTGAAATAGTCATGTCTGCCAGCGCGATCCCGGGGCTTAAAGCGGGGGCGGCCAATCGAAAGGGTGAAATTTTGACACTAAAAATATTATAAGGTACACGAGTTATAATTGCCAAAGAGCTTTTATTTATTATTAGGAAACGTGTAAAATTGTTGACAGACGTTTTTCTCGTGGCTAAAATGCCGGCAGACAACGCGAAAGAGGCATAGAATTTTGACAAAAGAAAATCATCGCATACATGCATGTCTGTTGGTGGAATGTCACGTTTATTCTTAATTAATTTAAAAAGCCGTATGCAAAAGGGCTTTTACTCTTAGACTATACCTTCAACATTAACTGTTAAAACAATAATTACATAAATATAATGTAACTTAATAAAATTATTTATCGGTCATCGTTCAAACCCCATTTGATTATAAATCTTTTTGATAACACCATTTCCCCTCTAATTAACACCGTTAGAACACTCAACCCATACTATAATCATTTAAACATAAAATTAATCTCTTGTATGTTATTCCATAACCATTTAATTTTATTGCGCTACTCGACTTTATCTACGCTTCTGTTTAACAACTAAAACGGTTAAATTAACACTTGAGAAACTAAAGTAAACACACGTACCTTGACAGAAACCATATGGTCTTAAAACGTTGTTCTGTCTCTAATTGCAGTAACGATGGCAAAATGGCTCCCTCCGATGGTACTTATCATACTTGTTCCAACCACAAACCTGGAGAACGACGACGGTTCCTGTAGACGGCATTTGAGCGTGCTGAACTGGCCGCAGATCACCTGCACCAACGTCGACAATAGTTTTTTTCAGCATTTCGTCGCCTCGCCAAACAGAACCCATTGGATCAAGTGTACCAACTGTTCTTTGAACGTAATAGATGAACGAACTTTTAATTTCCTGAAAAACAACGTCAGCTATGTAGAGTTGCAAGCATCTAGGATAAGAACGCTAAAAAGACTAGCTTTTAATAAGCTTTTTTTGTTAAAATATTTGAATCTGAGAAAAAACGATATTGATTATTTAGAACCGAAATGCTTCACGGGCATCAAAAGATTACTGCATTTAGATTTGAGTTTCAATTTTCTGAAAATTCTAACAAATAATATATTTTCCGATATGAGTAACTTGGACATTCTTAATTTAAATTATAATCAATTATTTTATATTCAGCCTTACGCTTTTGCCGGCCTGGTGAACTTAAAATACCTGTATATTAATCACAATGACTTAAAGAAACTTGAAGACAAGATGTTTAGATACCTTCCCAACTTAAAAATACTTTACTTAGAACATAACAGTATTGTAGAAATTCACCAAAATGCATTTTTCAACTTAAAAAATCTCAATTTTTTGTATCTCAATAATAATAGTATTAATTTTTTAGTGCAGTACAATTTTAAGCCATTGACTAGTCTGATAGATTTACAATTAAGGTTGAATAACTTGACGGAGATTCAAGTGAGTTCCTTCAACGGTCTTAGCAACTTAAGAACTCTCCATTTGAGTAATAATAATATTAGTATAGTTAAGCCTTACGGTTTTGTCGGTTTGGATTCCTTGAAAGTATTAGATTTAGTGAGAAACAAGTTTGTGTTGATAGATTTTAGTTATTTTGACAAAATGGAAAACTTAGAAGTGTTGTGGTTGAATAACAATTCGATATCGACTTTTGAGATTAGTTATAAATCGGAAGTACAAAATTCTTTGGTTATATTAGATTTAAGCTTTAATAATCTGTCGATGTTTAATTACAAATTATTGTATAGTAAAATGCCAAATATAAAAGAAGTTGTTCTTGAAAAAAACTCTATGAACTGTGATTTTTTTACCAATATGTATAATTTTTTACAAGACAAAAACGTCACGCTGTGTGTATCGTCGCATTGTAACTTTAACGAAACCGTAGTGTATATAGATGATATATGTTCCGAAGTGTATGTTACATCTACAGATCACGTATATAATTCCACTGATTTTTCTACTGACTGTTCCACGAATTTCTTTGGTAGCACCGTTTTTATGTTCATTGCTTTATCTCTAGCTTTATTTTGTTGAACTTTGGAAATTTTAGCTGTGTTTAATTTATTTCTACCTCATTATTTATTACAGTTGTTTTATATTTTTTTGTTGAATTGCTTTAATAAATTATAAGAAAGTTACTGTCATTTCTTTAACCTTATATCCTAGTTCTTTTAGCATTTGTCGCACTAAGTTCTCCAGAGAACTGTTCATTGAACGTAATGATAAACAAACTTTTAATTTTCTAAAAGATAACGTCAGCTATGTAGAGTTGCAAGCATCTAGGATAATAACGCTAAAGAGGCTAGCATTTAATAAGGTTTTTTTCGTTAAAATGTTTGAATCTGAGAAAAAACGATATAGATTATTTGGAACCGAAATGCTTCACGGGCATCAAGAGATTACTGCATTTAGATTTGAGTTTCAATTTTTTGAAAATTCTGACGAATAATATATTTTCCGATCTGAGTAACTTGGACATTCTTAATTTAAATTATAATCAATTATTTTATATTCAACATATAATAAAATTATATAAGAGTTTCTTGCCTTGAACTGCTAATATAGAAATTAATTCCACGCTGTGTTCGACATAATGTGGATCAACCTGCTCGCACTACCGGTTTCGGGGCCCTACCCCATCATCAGGTGAGCTTGGGTATTTCCACAATATGTCGAGCACAGCGCAGAGTATATACACACGACTTGTCGTAAAGTAGCGGTAAGATATTAAGTCCCGCATCGCGAGATAGCGGCCTGCGTGCAATGGTAGGACTTTCGTACCACCGAGGCACAACTATCGATAGTAAATAAAGGCTTTTTTCGGCTAGCCCAAATTATATAATGGAAAATAAATTTCTTGCAGTTTTTAGGTATATAATAAAATTATATAAGAGTTTCTTGCCTTGAACTGCTAATATAGAAATTAATTCCACGTTGTGTTCGGCATAATGTGGATCAACCTGCTCTCACTACCGGTTTCGAGGCCCTACCCCATCATCAGGTGAGCTTGGGTATTTCCACAATATGTCGAGCACAGCGCAGAGTATATATACACGACTTGTCGTAAAGTAGCGGTAAGATATTAAGTCCCGCATCGCGAGATAGCGGCCTGCGTGCAATGGTAGTACTTTCGTACCACCGAGGCACAACTATCGATAGTAAATAACTCTCTCGACATATTGTGGAAATACCCAATGCTCGACATATTGTGGAAATACCCAAGCTCACCTGATGATGGGGTAGGGCCCCGAAACCGGTAGTGAGAGCAGGTTGATCCACATTATGTCGAACACAGCGTGGAATTAATTTCTATATTAGCAGTTCAAGGCAAGAAACTCTTATATAATTTTATTATATACCTAAAAACTGCAAGAAATTTATTTTTCATTATATAATTTGGGCTAGCCGAAAAAAGCCTTTATTTGTGCTGTGTGTATCGTCGCATTGTAACTAACGAAACCGTAGTGTATATAGATGATATATGTTCCGAGGTGTATGTTACATCTACAGATCACTATATAATTCCACTGATTTTTCTACTGACTGTTCCACGAATTTCTTTGGTAGCACTGTTTTTATGTTCATTGCTTTATCTCTAGCTTTATTTTGTTGAACTTTGGAAATTTTAGCTGTGTTTAATTTATTTCTACCTCATTATTTATTACAGTTGTTTTATATTTTTTGTTGAATTCCTTTAATAATTTATAAGAAAATTACTGTCGTTTTTTTAACCTTATGTCTTAATTTTTGGAGTAGTGAGTGAGTTTTTCTAAGTGATCTCTGAAATCCGGAGAAGAGTTTTTGTTTGCTATTTTAATTCACAGGTAAGTTGTAGGTATTTTCTGTCACTGTTTGGATGTCGCCTGACGATAGTCTTCTCTTACTTACTTACTTCCATTACTCGCTAACGAGTATATGACACACATCAGAAGATAATTACGTAAAGCGTTTTCTTTTATCAGCTTTTCTGTAACTGAAAAGTCCGATACGTAATGTTATCTCTCTTCCGCACTCCGGACATTCAAAAATCTCATTACTTTGTTGCCTCTTTACTTTTTAGTTGTCGTTATTAACTGAGTTTAGAATCTTCTCCATCGCGTTCTCTTCTCCGTTGTGCGCTGCTTCCTTCCACTGATTCTGCATGCTTATCCCTTTGAAGTTTTCATGGAAAATATCCTTGTACCTTTTGAGTTGCCCACACGGTTTCCTCTTACCGTCTACAACCTCACCTTAAAGAAGATATTTCAGTAGGCGGTTTTCTTGCATCCTGCATACGTGACTAGACCATCTTAAGCGGGATTTAGGAATCATGACTTCAGCGCTCTCCGAGCTAGCTTTTTCAAGGACAGAAACCGTACCAGTTGATCTTCCCAGGTTTCTTCAGGTTAGTTTTCCCTGACACGTTGGACAGACGAGAAACTTTAAAGGGAAATTTAGAGGCAGTTCGAAAAAGTGTTAAATATAGGTTATAAGAGTTGTATGATTTGTACTGTAAACGTTACAAATGTCATCAGAATTGGATTGTCATTTTTTAATAAAAGAGAAAACTTTGAGCATTTCATTAATTACTACCAAAGTTACTACATATTTTCATTTTGGAACGTTATATTGTACCGATACTTCCAAACCAATCTGCATAATTAGCGTGAACTAAAATCTGTTCAACGAGCTAAGAAAGATTTCGACAAAAAATGACAGAACATAAAATTCACTTGTGTTACATTATGTTAACATCAAAAATAAAATAAAAATATTTTTGGATATTGCTGCTTAACTTTGAATAAGAAGACTACTGCTTAACGTCCGGTTAAAACTTACTCCTTGTATATACCTATTGTTTGTTTTGACTTGGATTTGACAAACGTCAATAATTTAAAGTGATTCGCATAAAGATGCATATAGACGATAATAGGGAATCTTTGTTATCTAAAGCCACAACCGATAAAAAATACTCAGATCAGAGCCCAGATAGACATGTTGTTAATTTTGGTACAGTAAAAGCATTCGAAGTTCACATAAAAACTGTGGTATTAAACAATTTACTTAAAATTAAGGTAAATATTTTTTTGGGATGTTTTGGGATGTAAATAGTTTTTTGGAAAAGTGTGGATGTTCATTCATAGAGGAAGTGAAGGTATTTTGGAATTGTAGCTTCAAAAAAAATTGCAAAAAATTTCAAATAAATAGCGTCCCTTAGATCTACATATTTGTATACTATGCAATAGAAAGATTTCAAAGTATTTAAAATAATTTAAATCGTTTTTTCATTCATGAAAAAAAAGTGCCAAAAATCTCTGTCGACGTAAGTACAGTACGTCTATCCGTTCTGCAGCTACGGGGTATCCGTGAGGGGGAAACGATATTCTCTCGTTTCTCGTAAAAAATTAGACTACGCGACGCGACGCGTCCTATCGATATAAATTCGACAAATTTGCAAGTAACCAATGAAATGAGTGGGCGGAGTGTTTTGCGGTGACATACTCGTCAAGACTGGTCGGTCAAATTTGCCCCCCGTACTAGGGGAAATTCAAAAATAAATATACCATTATTCTGCACACATTTTGCACAATTTTGCACACCATAAATGATATTTTACACACTTACCTAAGAGAACTCAGAGCCGTTTTTTAAACGGGGGGCAAACTTGACCGTTCCCCCCATTTGTTACGAGTTACCAATGACATCTAAGTGAATTTTTTTCCCAATAAAAAAATTTGGGAATTTATTTAGAGGTCATTGCGAGTTACGTACTTATGTTTTTTTAAATGGAACATTTCACACACAACGGGACAAATTTCAAGTATTCAAACACCTTATAACTTATGTCAGGATTGTGTGCAAAATTCAAAAACAGGTGTGCAAAATTGTGCACAATTAGCCGATTCGTTTGATATAAACAAAATTAAATTTAGTTCCAGATGGGGGGGGGGGTGAAATTTCAAATTTTCAACCCCTTAAAACTTTCGTCAGGAGGGTGTGCAAAGTTTAAAAATAGATGTGCAAAATTGTGCAAAATTAGCCTAATCGATATACATAGAAATAAATCAATGTTGTAACAAATGGGGGAGAACGGTCAAGTTTGCCCCCCGTTTAAAAAACGGCTCTGGTTTCTCTTAGGTAAGTGTGCAAAATATCATTTATGGTGTACAAAATTGTGCAAAATGTGTGCAACATAGTGGTATATTTATTTTTGAATTTCCTCTAATACGGGGGGCAAACTTGATCGACCTGGTCAAGACCACAGGTCTGTTCTCAGAAGAATCCCTCACTAGTCAGCACGCTTTTTATTGGTTAAAATGCGTAGAAACCTGATTGTTAGTCCGGTTTCTACACATTTCAACCAATAAGAAACGCGCTGACTAGTCAGGGATTCTTCTGAGAACAGACCTCACGTGTACTCTCTCCCGCTACTATTTAGGTAGCGATTTATAAAAGATATTGCTGTTTATTTAAATGTTTTTGTCCGTATTCCTTTCATAGACACAGATCTGACAAGCTGATATTATTAGACTATACTAAGGGCTGGCAAAGGTTAGTCTTGGGTCGAGATTTCCGTATGTAAGAAGAGTACAATGCGTTTATAATGTACTGAACAAAGAGAGGACAGTAAACACGTTGCCAAACGTATGAAATAAACCGAGAAACTGTGCACATCGCTAAGAGACGTGGAAGGGGATATAGCAGATTTGTCGCAGTTGACCGGTCGACCCAATCAACACCTCTGTCAGTACTTAAAGTTCTAGGGAAAGGTGTACGTCATGCGTTCAGCTTCACGATTTGATTACGTCTCGTGATACTTAATTTGTTTATTTATTAACGAGTCGTTGTAATTTTCCCTATAGCTTGAATTTTTTTAAGTGCAAGCTAGAAACACTTGCATTTTTGGTAAAAATAAGTGGAATTGAGTGGGTATTCGATAGTGGTTGCGTTATTAGAACTCTGAATTCAAAAATCGATATCTCGAAATCTATTAGAAATAATAGATTGTAGTTTTTTCAAGAACTTTGGTAATATTTCTGCTGTATTTTCTTTGTAGACAATATGTGAAAAACTTTATCAATAAAAAAATTACACGATTGCTGAAAATTGCTATGCCCTAAAAGTAAATGGATGGATTGTTTACAATTTTTGAATGGAAAAACAACCTTATCGAATTTTTCTTATGTAAACATATTGTAAAATATCCGATCTTGAAAATAAAAAAAAAGTTTCAATATCTAAAGTGGTTCTTGAGTTATGGCCTGTTATGTGCTAAAAAGTTGAGTTTTTAAATTATCGCGATTACTGACGTTTTCTCGTTATAAAAAAATTACACCTTAACGATATCCTTATAATTCCATTTCAGATACTCAGAAACATGTCTAATGATTTTATCTAGTTACCTATCTCTTGAAAAAAAGTCTTTTAAAAATAAGCGGTTTGCAATCGCGATTTTACTTTACTTGATAGGGAAAGGCGTATCGGCAACGCCGCAACAGCACACCGTCGCGCGTCGCGTCTGTCGGTCGCATTTCTCTCACTCCGCCTTAATAAGATCCTTATGCGATTTACTTCCACACATGTAAATGCCGACTCAAAAGTAACAGTTGCCAGCACGGTATACCATTTTTAATCAGATAGCGCCACGCATAATATCAAGAAGTCAGTATTCCAAATTACCAACAGTATTCCGAATTAGCCTCAATTCCTCTACTGTTATATATTACGTTTCTATAAGTTATCTACATTGTACATATTGCAGAATAAAGTAAGTTTCAAAATTGAAAAAGATTCACAGACAAAAGGAGCCAAAGAAATGTTTAGTGTTAATCCTACAGAAGGTACTATTTATCCAAAGCAAGCATTTACGTTAATAATGAATTATTTTCCTACTGTTCCTAAGTACCAGAGCATTGAAGTGTTTTTATATGAAGATGAGGATGGTAGAGAGGTTACATTTATCTTAAAAGGAAAAGCTTTAGGTAATATAATTTGTCAGTCTTATATTTTAATTACCGTTGATTGAAAGAATTGAATGGGAAGATACGCAACCTAATAGGCAAATTCGTGACAAGGCTGATTTGATTTCCCCTTACGTCTCAGGTAGTGTACGGTGGAGCCTCCACTCGTTCTGCGACCAACGCATAAAGTATTCATTTTCTATAATTCGGTTAGCGAATGCATTTCGAAGACAGTGTAGAACTGAAAGCGACAGTGTTGCCAATGTGTAATATTTGTAATACGTTTGACGAAAATATCTTTGGATGAAAAATCCACGTTTATGTATTGAAAATTTATTCGTGCTCACAAAAAAACATAGAATAAACAAGAAAAATAAAAATTCTTTTATAGGTACTGAATATTTTGTATGATCGAAAAAAATCGTTTAGTTGGCTTGGAAATGACGAACTATTGGCATTTACCATAATATTTTACATATGAAATAACAGCGATCTTCATTTCCAAGCAACTCTGACCCCATTTTTTGTTTAATCACATGTAATATTATATTAAATTGTTTAATCATAGAAAATCCGTATCATTAACGTACTGTACCCAAAATCCGTAAATCTACGGATTAATCCGTAGTTCTGGCAAGACTGTTTCCGGTAACCACCTACTCTGTCGACTGAAAGCAAAATTACCGTACAATATTCTTTATCTCCTGCGCTGTAAACGAGTAGCAGCGGCGCAGAGCTAAACTAAATCTCGGACAGGTTGACCAGCGGAGACGGTATCGCCAGCTACATCTCGGACAGGTTTTGTTCCACAAAATCTTATTTCTTCAATCATCAATTGAAGAGTCGGCTCGAACAACGTTGTAACTTACATTTTTTCAAATTTTCAGGAAGGACAAAAATCGATATATCTATTATTTTTCCTTTAAAATGAAAGAACATTGTACGACCATGACAGTTATAATGTTCTTTCATGTTGTTACCAATAACTTCCCGCCTTCTACCTATAACTAGGCTGCATAGCATTTTACACAAGAAATATTTGGAACAACGTTGTAACTGCATTGTAACTTACAACGTTATTCCCAGTATTTGCATATTTTTTAATATATGATGTGTTGGATTCAAAATAAAAAAGGTGGTATGTTATTATTATTTTTATTTTCAAACTTATCTCAGTCACGTTCGATTTGCGTTTTTTATCCCGATTTAATGTCTTTTGTAACGAATGCGACAAATTTACAACCGACATGATGCAAAACAGACGCCCAAATAATGTATTACGCTACTAGTTATAACGTTATTCCGCGGAAATTATTCAAATGTCGAACTAAAATATTTTATTGGAGGAAGAATTTTGACGGAGAAACAGATAATTTGTGTTAGGCAGTTGCTTACAGGTTTTGTTCCACAAAATCTTATTTCTTCAATCATCAATTATACCTTGTTATTGTAAAAAATAAGTGAGTATTATGAAATTCCTTGTAAATTTTAAAAACATGATGAATAAACGTTATATTTTTATTATTATGATTTCGGAAAACAACTTGTAGAAAATATTCTAGTGATGTATATTCGTATACGCATTTAGATTCGCAAAATTTATAAGATTATTTTTGAATTGACTTGGAAATGACGATCGATGACATTCCCCATATATAATTTTACATGACAGCGATCTTCATTTCATAGCCATTGCTGACGCCGGTTTTTTATTCGATCATACGGTACTTAATAAAAATAATTATAGGTCCGCGATGTGAACTATCCACGAATAAAGTATTTTTATACAAAACACTACCCGACCAACATCCAAAACGTGTGGTTGAAATACAAAATTCTTCTCCAGTCGAAGCGTTGTTCAAATTTGACGTACCAAATGAAGACGTATTGAAGATTTATCCACTAGAAGGGAATATAAAAAAGATGTGTACTCTGAAGCTTACGATAGAATTTAATTCTCATAAGAGAGGCATCTTCTTCAGGCAATTTGTTTGCTTAATTTGGAATGACGTAAGTGACAGATTTTAGAAATGAGTGACATAAAGTGAGAAATTAGTTTTATAAAGGCTGTATTCCGTTGCTTACCTACGTTATGGTTTTATGTTCCGTTTCTATCGGTTTCCTGAAAGTTTTCTTATTACGGAACGCACGGTTCCTGAAAAATTCGGTTATAACTGTCACCAAACTAACCAGAGCGAAAAGGCTGGTTTCTCTGGTTCTTTTTATCAATCAATATCATTTATGTAACAGAAATCAAGCAGATATTGGAAGTTCGAATGAAATTCTCATTAAATTTTTTAAATTTGTAATAATATTTTGTATTTATATCCAAAAGCAATAAAAAAGGTAGGCAGTAAAGGTAAATAAATTTCATTAACTAAATAGAATGACTTTTTAGGACCATTTAAACTTATCATGCAGCCATTGCTTCCAAGTCAAGAACATTTAAAGAAAACATGAAAAACAAGACAACAAGTTATCGTGAATGTTTTGTAAGCTATAAAAATATAAATATTGATTAGATTTGTTTATTTATTATTGATTTGTTTTAATATCGGACCTGCAAATCTTCACTTGAGCTGTCTAACGAGTTTAAGAGTTTATTAATAAAGTACTTTTCAATATTAAACTCCATTGAAAAGAAAAAGCAAACGTAAAAGGAAAGAATAAGTACATTAAAAATGCATAAAAGATAAATTTTATAATAGAGGTATTGAAATTTCGAAAACGTCAACATTTGACGTTTCCAATATTTTTGCAAACCGTTCCGTATCAAACCGATGTTTTTCAGGAACCACTTAAAGAGCGGATCCCATGCGGTAACCGTAAACCGTAGTTTATCGGTCTGGTTTTGCAACGGAATACAGCCAAAGTTTGACAAGTTTTTTAAAAAATAAATATATTTTTTTTTAATTTTCAAACTTCAATAACTCGGTAATTCTAGACATATATGAAAAACGGTAAAGAGAAAATATGTTCTTTTATCGAGATCTACTAGCCCTGAAATTGTTTGCACTTATTTAGGACTCACCCTGTATAACTACAACACTCATCGATAAACTTTCAAACTAGACTTGTTAACATTCAAGTTAATGTGATATAACTGTAAAGTAAGCGCAATACACCTACCTGGTAAAACGCCCATATTATTTTTTTTAAAACAGCAAATGTTTTCCGACAGTTTAATCATTTGTAAGTTGTAAAAGCTGTTACCAAGTAGAGAGACAAATATTTGAATTATGATTTTTTTTATAGTTGCAGACCAAAAATGACCTTTGTATCACCAAGAATGAAATCGCGTGTGAACACTGACACGCGTGTCAAAAAGGTTCGCCATCATTTTCCTAGGGGACTGGGGATCTACTACAACATATTCATTTATCACCAGTATCTCAATTATCAGTTTTATGTCATAATAAATATATACAAAGGGTTATTTTTTGGACTAAGAAAACAATTTGATAGCAACATAATATGACCAGATCTGAAAATATTTAGAAATTAATCTTTATTCTGACTTATTTATAGGAACCACTAGTTATAGAAGCAGTTGGATACTATGGCGAATCGTTAAGTTACGAAAAGCTGCCGCATTTAACCCGGTATAATTTTCCTAGGCATCTCGCATTTGGATCTGGTGCATATTTAAAGGATAGTTTTGTCAAACCATCTGACACTTTGCCCTTTACACTTAATGAAAAATATCTAGACTTTGGAAGAGTGGAACAAGGATTTTCGCGGCTGTCAACTTCGATAACGAATAAGTTGGAAAATCCAATTTTCATCGAATGGAACATAGGTATAGTATACCAACATATAAATTCATATACAGGGTGTCCCAGGAATAAGTGCAAGTATTTAACTGGTAGTATATTTCAACCCCAGAAACACGCCTATGAGATTTTTTTCGCGAAAAAAAATTTTGAAAATTCAGAATTTTTTGAAAATGTTTTTGGAATTTTTTTAGTTTTTATTTAAAAACATAATTTCTTGATAATATGGCAATATAGGTAGTAGATTAAATTTACAAGAAAGAAAATCCAGAAAAGATCTAGTGGTTCTAGAAATTTTACCAAAAAATATTTTTTTTGGAAATGTTCAAAATAAAATAACTCCGTTTGAAGGTTTTTGAAGGACTTATTTGAAGAACGATAAAGAGAAAATATGTTTCTTTTATCGAGATCTATCACCCCTTAAAATACTTGCACTTATTTCTGGGATACCCTGTATATGAATTTATGTGTATAACCGTATAACTCAACTTTAATGAAGCCTATATGAGTCCTTTTTCGAATAATTTTCGATATTTTACGTAAATATTGTAATCCCGGGTGCGTCTCAAAACTGGCTCACTCCTATAACATTTTAATTTTTCAGGTAAAAATACGAGAATTGGTATGTTAGTATATATAACCACCAGAAGTGAAGCTGGGGGGGTGATGATGGGGGGGGTTGCTCAATGTGTAATTGAGTTGGGAAATTAGTCATGACAACGCGACGTCTAAATCAGATTTGTCAAAAACAAAAAAAAAACTATGCCGCTGCACTAATGTGAAGCGGATATTGCAGAGGGATATTGCTATTAACTTAGATTTACAAAAAATAATAAAATAATAAATTATAAATTAATAAAACAATTTTTATTTAATACATTATTTCATGTATTATGGCCTCTAAAAAAAGTAGGAAGTTGGGAAAATTGCTTGTCAAAAAATTGTCACAAAAATTAATACTTTTGTGACGTTTGAAAAAAAATTTATATTGATATTTAGATACTGTATAATTGATTCTTAATTATTCAATGAAAATCTGACACAAAAATGCACCAGCTTTATCAAACAGATATAAATCCACAAGTCCCACACTGATTTATTTCTGAGAAATAAGCGGAGTAAAACAAGTTAACGTTGTAACTAAAAATGTTTTTACAAAATGACTTTCAAATTTGTATCGGTAAGAATGCCCATCGTGGTCAATTATTTTTACACCACGTTGAATATTACGGTTCATTTAAAAATTCTTTATGGGGTACCAGAAAATCCATATAAAACTTATGTAAAAGTATTATTTTGGTTTATTGCACGAAGTATATTTATAATTGGAAAATGTCCTTCTTTGGTTTTTAGTCCATAAATATAAAAGTCATAAACAGCAATCATAAAGGCGGGTTAACACGATCCAAGTTTACTGGTCCAGGTGTACTACGTGCACCAAGTACAGGGTGGGTCAAATTCGACTCTTTTAAATGGAAACACCCTTTTCTATAGGAGATAGACGAAAACTAATATCGGTGTCTGGAGCTCAATTTTCATCAAAAACATGATGGTGAAAACCGCACATCAATATCTGTTACCGTTTCGGAGTTACGGGGTGTTTTTCAAAAATGTGCATTTTTAACAAATCGCTGTAACTTTTTTGCTATTGAAAATTTTGTATTTATATGAAAACATTTCCAAAGCACCTTTTACGTAGAATTTAATGGTTTAAGTATAATTTTTTTAAAATTAATAATTTAAGAGTTATTAACAGAAAAATTGATTTTTTATTTGGGACACCCTCTATATTTTTAATTAACCGAAAAGAATTTAAAATTACCTTTCCAAATATATAGCACACTTGATATTTTGTTATAATCCCCTTCGAAATACAGAATTTTTAAAGGTTCGCCACTTTAAACTAGTAGGCTTTGGACTCCTTATTGAAGATATGCCCTTAATGGAACTCGAAAACATATTTTTCCAGCAAGACGACGCACCGCCTCTGAACGCTGAAGTTATCAGCAAATTTTTGCAGTCAAATTTAAGAATAAGTAAGACTTAGTGCCCATGAATCTAATCCTATGGATATATTTGTGGAAGAATAAAGGTTCCTTATTCTTCCGTATAATCTAGACAAGAATTACAAATACTTAGCAGTTATGAGAGGGTATCTTTTACCCCTACTGAGTTAATGAATTCCGCGAGAAAAGTTCAAAAACTGCCCCGTCTGTCCATAACAGAAGACGGTTGATATGTTGAACACCTGTAGCAAAATCTCATGTCTTGGTTTGCTATTTAGTTTTATTGTTATTAGATATAGCTTAAATGCGTTGATGTTGGTTAAATATATTTTAAATTGCTATAAAATCCTGCATCTCTCATAGCAAGTATTATTTTCGTTTTAAATGATACGCATAGTTAGAATTTTTTTACATTACAGCCGGTGCTTGGCCGGTGCTGTTCAAAGCCTACTTATTTAAAGCGGTCGAATTTTTATATAATCTATATCTCGAAAAGGAATCGAGCAAAATATCAAGTGTGTTATATTTTTGGAAAGGTAATTTTAAATTCTTTTCAATAAATTAAAAATATACAGGGTGTCCCATATAAAAAATCAAATTTTCTGTTGATAATTCTTAAAATATTAATTTTAAAAAAATTATACTTAAACCATTTAATTTTACGTAAAAAGGTGCTCTGGAAATGTTTTCATAAAAATACCAAATTTTCCATAGCAAAAAAGTTACAGCGATTTGTTAAAAATGCATATTTTTGAAAAACACCCCGTAACTCCGAAACGGTAACAGATATCGATATGCGGTTTTCACCATCATGTTTTTGATAAAAATTGAGCTACAGACACCGATATTAGTTTTTGTCTATCTCCTATAGAAAAGGGTGTTTCCATTTAAAAGCGTCGAATTTGACCCACCCTGTACACTTGTCTTTACGAAAGAAAAACTTTTTTATTATTGACAATTTGAGAAAAACTCTTTCTTCATAAAAAAAATTTGCTTCTTAGTACAGTATAACTTCAACAGTGCGGACACTCTCTAGAACGGGCACTGCAGTAATCCGGACACTGCTGTTATTCGCGCATTTTAAAACATTTGCCCCTAAAATCTGGGCGCAAAAAAAATCATACCCGGAAAATCAGAATTTTCCAATCTGGCAGAAACATTTAACATTTTATACATTTTGTTTATTAAGATCTCCGAAAAAATGTAATAAACAGAGCTACTAATTGATCGAGTATCATCTTATTTTGCTTTGTATAAAATGATCGTATTAAATACATTACAATAGTGATGTATAAAATATAATTAAATAAAAAATCATAGAGCACGACAGTCTTCCGAAACACGATTTATTTTCTGGTTTGTAGCTTCGATAATCATTTGCCAGACAACGACAAATTGAAGGGCACTTACCCATGATTTATAACCGCAGATAAGCTGAAACTTACTTGAATGAATTTAGTACAAATCGTGACCAATATTTTTTTCTCCAAATAAACAAAGGGAAATCGTTTATACACTGTCAATATCCTCAATGAAAGGAATTATTTGTTGCATTATTTCTGACAACAGTCAGTGGTGAAGCTATGGGGGGAGGGGGGGGGGGTGCTACTCCCCCCCAATTTATAATTGAGTTGGGAAATTAGTCATGACAACGCGACGTCTAAATCCCAAATTTGTCAAAAATAAAAAAAAGGTATGCCGCTACACTAATGTGAAGCGGATATAATGCCATCAACAAATAAATAATAATAACAACTTGGGCCACTTTGAAGACCAGAGGACTATTTATTAAACAAAATATTAGGGATGATACGATTTTATTTTAATGTTAGAGTTGTCATAAAAATAATTATTTATGCATGTTATAATGTTCAATAATGTTAAATTTAAATTTTAAAATAATAAAACAATTTTTTTAAAACAAGGATTTTTTTTCATATCACGATACATTATTACATGTATTATGGCCTCTAAAAAAAAGTAGGAAGTTGAGAAAATTGCTGGTCCCCCCCCCCTTCATCACTGACAACAGTCCCATGAAAGATTACTATATATAAAATAGCGTTTATAAATATTTTTATCAAAACCTAAAGAAAATACCGTATGATCGAGAAAAAACGGCGTCAAAGGCGGCTTAGGAATGACTATCGATGCTATTTTTGACGAGATAGAACTCTAGACGTCAGTTACTGAGAATTGACATAAAATTTGTCAAAAATTAATACCTTATATAGAAAAACCAGAAAAGAATAGAAAGTTTCCAGATACACATATCTATTTCCAAAAAAAATGTTTTTTCAAATGTTTGGATCTGCACCAGTTCTACTCAATAAAAAATCGATATTAAATCATCCTTAAATGCAGTAAACGCCTTTTTCAAAATAAAGAAGAGTAAGGCCAGTAAGACTCTAACCTAACTAAATCTCGTCGTTCGACAAGCCTCCGACCCCTCCGACCGAGACATTTCGACAAAATTTTTGATTATTGTGCTGTTAAAATGTACGGATTAGCCTTTTATTATTGTTTCATACACACTAGACCGTTCAGATTTACTAATATTGCATTGATTGTAGCTGTAAATAAAAATGTGTGTTTAATACCAGTAGATAATCCGTTAGTTGATGAAAGAAGTATCGTGTTTATCGACAAAATTAATTGTAGGCTTTTAAATTTTGAAATTTTTTATGTACGTATATATTTTATATATTTATAATTAATGATTAAGTATCCCTGTATTTTTAAATGTTGAATCTTATGGACTGAAAAAACTGCTGATGATATTTCTACTTTCACTGACTGAAGATGCAGAAACCTAGAAGAAATTCAAAAACAAATTTTACAAACATAACGTATGACTATACATTTCGGTAAGTCAATATCGACAAAGCTTTGATTACAGCATAACCTATTTGGTTTTCTTTAAATCCTCTATACAATAGACTATTTCTTTGACATAGTTTTGTTCATTTAATTTGTTTCATAGAGGTTATACACAGGGGTAGATATTCTATAAGTAAAAAAGTAATGTATAAGTAATAATACAGATTCTTAAAAATATCTCACCTTACCGTTTCTAGTACTTCAATTTAGTGTGTTTATATTTTATACATGTATAAAATTGAACATCATCCACCAGAAGTATCAACAATTATGAGTTGAATATTACAAAATATGACCATATTAAGCAAAATTTAAAGGCCTACAATTAACTTTGTTGATAAACACAATACTTCTTCCATGAACTAACGGGTTATTACTAGTAATTGAACATACATATTGGTTTACAGCTACAGTATTAGTAAATCTGAAGGGTCTAGTCTGTATTAGACAATTACAAAAGGATAATCCATACATTTTAACAGTAGAATAATCCAATTTTTGTTAACTCTAGACGTTATCGAAATGCCTGGGACTGGGACGGGCGATAGTTAGGTTAGAGCCTTTTTGATCTTTCTCTTCTTTACTTTTAAAGACGCATTCTGTATTAATTACGATTTACTGGATTTACCTAATATAGATTTTTTATTAATTAGAACTGGTATAGTTCAAATTATCAGAAAAACATATTTTTTGGATATAGATTTCTGTATCCGGAAACTTACTGTTATCTTCTAGATTTTCTACATTTAGTATTAATTTTAAATAAAAATTTAACTTTTTTGAAGATCTGAAGTGAAAAGAAGAAGAATTTTAATTAACTAAAAAAATCAAAATAAAGTTAATTAACTTTGAGCAGAGTTCGACCTCGTCAAAAATAGCATCGATAGTCATTCCCCAGCCGCCTTTGACGCCGTTTTTTCTCGATCATACGGTACTAATCAAACATAAATTTAAGCTAATTAAACTTAATACTGATAAATTTGCACCGGATTTATGGTTTCGGCATTTTAAGGCATCAAAAATCAATAAAATGATGACTGCGTATGAGAGAATACTTTATAAAGGTTTCAATAAAATAGAGATAAGTCTACTCATAAGCATATATAAAAGTAATTTGTATGACAGTACACTAGACATAATATACAGTATAAGTGATACCACTTAAACATTTAGTTACGTAATCGAAGGCGCGATTTTTAAATGCATTGTTGCCAACCAAGGACATGTCCCGCGCCGGGCTAACTAACTGGAATTTAAATTTCCCGGGATTAAGGTGGTAGATTTGCTGTACAAAATGTCAAGTTGCCACATTTATTTATTTCCTGACATTGTCATTCGTTTTGACACTTTAGTTTTGTATTATATGTATAATTTTTGGTTTAAATGAATTGTGTTATGATACGAGCTTAAAAATTTTTACTAGCAAACCTTGCAGTCGAACATTGTTCTTTTTAGAACTTCTTTTAGTGCGAAGTGTACAATATAGTTTAATAGCCGTAAAAAATCATCATTACTTCATCGCAACTTTATTAGAATATTTTGAACGGGAAAGCAGCAGTAATGGCCCTTAAGTGCTGTTAAGAAGGTGTGTTTTGTTGATGTAAATAATAACTGTTTATAGAAATATTTATAATGAATTTATTTTTGTTTCATAAAATATTTTGATTAAAAGAAAATATGTAAAAGTGGGCAACGCTGTGCCGGTCAAGCTTAATCACGTGACGAAAAGTTTATTTGGTACGATCTATAGTTGCCATTATCTTATATTATAAATATACAGGTGTCCCAATATTCCGTGGACATAGAATTACTAAGTAAGTTTGAAACCATAATAATTTAATTGAACAAAATGTACCTCTATACAAAAGTTCTTCGTTTGCTCGTTAAAAGGCATCAATTGGAACTAAACCCAAATGAATTTAAAATTTAAGACGCTTATTGTCAAAAATTATTGTGACACTGATACATGCCCGGCGCCTCCACCATATGTCGCGACTTAGCTGGGGATTGTTTGCTAGGTTCGCTATACCAGGTTCTCTCTCTCAATCAAAACAACCATTGAACAAAATACACATTTATTTAACATAAAGTTCACAGTATAATACAATTTTGGGGAATGCCAAGACTTAATGGTTTAGTTAACTAAGTACTTACAGGAACATCTTCAGTCTGCGCTGTCTTCTGCTAACGGACTGATGACGCGAATTACTAACTGTATAATACGACTCACATCGATGGACTAACCCACTCCCCTGTCTTCAGCACCCTATTTTATATTTTTCCGCTCGTCCCAATTATCGGCGGGTACGTGCTCAAAAATCTCCTTTGTATATTTCCAGCACCGATATTTAGTACGAGCTAGCCCTGAAATATCACGCTTACATCGACCTGATTTTAATTGTTTAATTAACAATGTTTATTATAAGAACATATTCAGGTCGACGTATACGCGAACGATTCCCTTGAATCTACATCAAATTGGTTTACTAGAATTATATTTTACATGATTTTTCTCAATTTGATGTAAACCCAAGTTGGCCTATATTTAAGTCTTGACAATATGCTAAAGCAGCTAGCATGCTAGCAAAACATAGACACCAAAAATCTTCAAATCAGAATACCGGTTCCTAAAATATTAAAAAAAAATGTGTTTTATAATTTCATGCCCTCTATCGGATAAATGAATCATTTTTATGTAGAGATAAATTGTGTGCAATTAACTTATTTTGATTCCAAATATACGTAGAGTTTAATGTCCACGGAATACTGAAACACCCTGTGTGAAAAGAGTTTGCTTGGGTTCTTGAACTAGTACATTCTCTCGAATACTAGACGATATGGGGGAGAATTCTCCAATGTTCAATCAAACTCCAGCGGGAGAATTCATGACAGTGACAGTTAATTCTGTCATATCATTCAGGTGGTAAAAGTTTTATTTTCTTTTTATTATGTTTTAGATCAAGATACCTTTAAGATAGAACCAAAAAGAAGTAATATACTAGGAAATGCCACTGCTCAATTTGAATGTTATTTTTATCCGAAAATGCAAAATCACCAATATTTCGAAACGTTGATTGGACAAGTGGAATGGCCAAATGAGAAGCAATTTGCGAATTCGAATCCAACCCGACCATTAACGTGTGCGTTAAAAGTTCAAGGTAATGAAGGAAAATTATAATTAATATCAGTTATACTGCACCCTCCTGGCTGAGAGTGAATTAGTTTCTTATAGATCGATCTTTTTATAAAATATCTCTATAAAAATATTATTAATTTAATAGTTAGCCGCTTAAAACCCCTTAAGGGTGGTTCACTCTGTATTCCGGAAACTTCGGCATTATATTCTGCACATAAAAATAAGTAAAAAAGTTCGTATAAACTTATATCCTAAAATGTATCGTTTCGGAGGTACTTTTTGTCCATCCCTGTATGACACTACTGAGTGAAAAAATATACATTTCCGTAAGTTTTTACTTAACAAACATCTATTGGTAAAAATCGCTACGAGCAACAGCTTTGAAGATATTTGGAATGGAAATAGTCAATACACATCATTATTGAGAAAAAATAAAAATGTTGACTAAATAGTTATTTGGCTGATATGATAAATTTGGAAACTTTTCATTTTTGATTTTCAGTTTTTGTTAAATCTTTGACACAAAAACATTTCAACTGTATTAGTTCAGACCAACAATTATCCAGCCAACATTTATAATTTTCGTCAATTATGACATGTGACTATTTCGATTCTAAATATCTTGAGAACCATTAATCGTAGCGATTTTTACCAAGAGATCTTTTTTTTACGTAAAAAATGACGAAAATGTATATTTTTTCACTCAATAGTGAAATACTGTGTTCTTGGTACGGATGAAAAGTCATTACTCTTTAAAAGAGCCAGAAAATATATAGGTGGCGCCTTCTACAAGTAAGAGTCACGCTGACATTAAAATTGAATTTCTCATGTCACATACCCAGACACCAATTTTCATCCAAATATCGGCATTAGCTCAGAAATTATTTGGAAAAAAATCGAAATAAAAATGAAAAATTCTACACCCTGTATCTCTGAAACAAAGCATTTTAGGGCGTAAGTATATACGAACTTTTTTACTTATTTTTATGTGCAGAATATGCTGCCGAAGTTTCCGGAATACAGTTCGGACCACCCTGTACATCAGATATACAGGGCTTCCCTGGCTAAGAGTGCATTAGTTGCTTATAGAGAGCGAAAATATCTAGATCGAAGCATTTCTGCATCTCAATCTATAAAAATATTTTAAATACGGTAGCACATTTATTTTAAAATTATTTTTTTTTTCTAAATATCTTATCAGTATCTGCAGCTGTTCCTGAATACCGGGTGTTCCAAAAAACATCTCTCGTGGGAAGATTCATAAAAACAAAGCAGAATTGGACCTATGTTGATATAAAACAAAAATTCAAAATTTATAAACACAATTTAAAGATCAAGGGAATACAGATGACTAGCCTTTATTTTATAAGGGAACTGTTTATATTTTTTTTGTTGTGTTTAATGTCTTGTCCATACAGGCATACTTTTATGTGTAGTGTTGTTGATTGGACCAAAGAATATTATAATAAAAAATTATAATATTCTTTGATTGTACTCATGCTATCAGGAGAAGCTACTTAATTAATTTTGACAAAGGAACTATTTAGGTGAATATTTCACTCATGTACAAAAAATCCCATAAGAAGCGGGTAATTTTCGGCGAACATTGCCCGCTAAAATCGAAAATTACCCGGCGAAAATTTCCCGCAGAATGTCAATGAGTGACAATGACACATTTGTCACTTAGACGTAAATTATTTTTAATAGATATTCCAAAAATCTCTCGATTTGGAAACGATTCTAAAGTGCAATTGAAGAAAAAGTTGCCGAAAATAAGCCGAAAAACACTATAATTAATCACCAGTATGTATGGAAACAGTTTATGGATAGAAACTACATTTTGGAATTTTGGATGCGAACATCTCAATCTCGCCACTGGCCAATATTTTGACCGATTGGGCATGTAATAGGAAAATGAGAAACGGCCAAGACAATAAGGATTTTACGATAAAAACTATTTGGAATGTAACAGCCAAGCTATTAATGGAAAAATACCAAAAAGAATATAATATTAAATTTAATCCTTTTACTGACACGGAATTTAAAATATCCCGGGAGGCAAAAAGTGCAAAAAGGAAAGAATTGCAGATAGACCCTCTAAAAAGAAAAGAAAGCTCTAAGGCACTCAAATACGAAGAATTCAAATTGATATTACGAAATTGTAATGAATGTCCCGATGGTTTGCAAAAATTTTTTTTTTGTATTATCCTACGAATTGGCATGGCGAGGAGGAGAGGGAGGAAAATGTTCTATTTCCTATTTTAAAGACGATATTGATAATATAGGACAACCCACCGGTCGCATTGAATACAACCCGATATTCGATAAAACCACTCAAGGAGGAGATAAACCTTGTGCTCCGTCAAAATGGCTGGTCATAAATAGAGGTCAACTGGATATATGTCCAGTAAGGCTATTCAAAAAATTTATGGAAAAAAAGAAAATTAATTAATATTCCAAGATTGTTTTTAACTGTAAATCCTCTCTGGAAAATGGGTAAATGGTTCAAGAACTTTCCTGTTGGGAAAAATATGATTGCTCAATGGGTGTCTATCGAAGCGAAAGAATCAGATTTGGCTACGGAAAAAGTAAAAATTACTAATCATTCGCTACGTGCAACAGCTGTGTCGACACTAGCAAAGATGGGGGTTGGGGAGAACACAATGGTTAAAATAACTAGGCACACAAACCCGAAGTCAATTAAACCTTACCTTCAGCTCGATGATGAATATCATGCAAATTTGGTAGAAAAAATGAGACAATGAAACTGCTACAAGTTCTAATAATGTTTTTGTGCCTACTATAGGTTCTTTTAATTTCAATTCAAATTCAGCATCTTCAAGTACCGCAACGGAATCTAAACATAATAATTTTTATAACTGTGTTTTTCACTGCAATTCTTCATGTAATTTTTAATTTCTAATATTATAAGTTCTGTCTCATTTTATTGCTTCATTTTTAAATAGTTTTTTTAATATGTTCAAATAAATGTTTTTAAAAAATCTATGTATTTTTACTTGTATTTTCATGTTTTTTATTCGGGAAATATTCTACCGAATTACACTCGTGCATCAAAATTAACCTGATAATTTATCATTTAAGCATGTTGTCAATAAAAAACATCCCCAAAAAAGAATAGCCCTCCTTCTTCGGAGTCGGGCTCTTATGGCAAAATATGAATATAAACTCATGCAGTTTTGAGACAACATGCTTTCATGAAAAATTATCGGTAATTTTGATGCACTTGGGTTATTACTTCCGAAAATAGCCTTGATAAAGTCGAAAATACTCGTCAAAACTTCGGCAATTTTTTAAATGATTATTTTATTTGTTTATGTCCTGGTCCTAAACCTACAAACACCATTTCATCTTATTTTTACGAATCTCACGAATCTCCCCACGACCAGATGGCACGTGTTTTTGAAACGCCCTGTATACATTCACAATTCAATGCACAACCGATTGAATTTCACGAGGGAAATATAAGACAGAATTAAATAAATAAAAGAGGCCACGTTGCAAGCGATATCTCTTGTTTCTGCGGTCTGAAAAGGTTCTTGCTTCACACGCCGCTGATTTGTTTTCAGGCCACTCGTTTCCGGATGGCGAGGGGTGGATAGCCCCGTTGGAAGTGGTACCGGAAAATATCGTACTATATCCGTGCCTGCCCGGTTTCGCATCCACCAGCACTCTGAAATTGGTTAACAGGACCCATCTGCCGGTTATGTACAAACTGGTGCCTCCAACGAAAACGTAAGCTTTTATTTTAATGGATTTAAAAAGTGTGTTCCAAAAAACATGTGCCATCTCTCGTGAGTCCAACGTAAAAATAAAATTCTTCTATATCAACATAGGGCCGATTCTGCTTTGTTTCGTAGCTACAGGCGGTTAAAGTCTTCTTTTATTATAATTTTCTTCTTTTGAGGATTAAAAGTTAGTATAAATGTTAAAATACATATCTTAGTATTAATAAAATTGGCGCCCGGAGGCACGAATAGCCGCCCATACTAAAATATGTTAATATCTCGAAAACTGCGACTTTGACTGATTTTGATGTTATTACAAATTTTGTTGCAAATATTATTCCTAATCTTAATTTGAAAACCGCGTTTCGCTAGCTACTGTAATTTTGGAGTTACGATTTTTTTAAATTTTTAACCCCCTCCCATACCCCTTACCAACCCCCCACCCCCACCAAAAACTAATGGCCAGATTCTCGGGTGCCACCTTTGGATGCCACAGTATTTTTGTGCCAAAATTGGTTAAAATCGGTTCAGCGGTTTTTGAGTTATCGTGTTACAGACGGACAGACGGACGGACAGACGGACGGACAGACAGACAGACAGACAGACACCATGAAAATATTTTGTATTTAGGTCATTTATGACCCAAGTAACTCATTTTGAGTGAAATTAAAAAAACTTTTTTTTGCCGATCCTAATAGCCTACCATACCTATTAGTATGGTCGGGTGAAAAAGTGTAAACAGATTCACTAGAGATAGAGATGCGCCTGTGGGTTATCACTGGAATAATTTTCTAAAAAAACAAGTAGGCCACTGACTTTTTTCTCTTGTTACCAAAATTTTATAGGCCGTTTAATGCCGATTAAAAGGTGTATGATGAGATAAACGCAGTTTTATTAATCACAATTAATATAATTTAAATAAAATTTATAAATAATTTAATTAATCTCTTCTATTATAACTTTTGAATATGCCGATGATGTCTGCCTAGTTGTACAATCATAATAAACAAACTACAAAATGCAGCCAATCAGTGCGGACTTACAATAAATAGAGGGAAAACCAAGTCGATCAGATTGAACTCGAACATAAACACACCGTTCAACATTTCGAGACAAGTGATTAAAGACATTGAGGAGTTTACATATTTGGGCAGCATAATAAACAAAGACGGTAGAGCCAGCGAAGATATACAATACCGCATCAAAAAAACTTAATAAGCATTTGGTCAACTTAGAATAGTATCGGTCTTGAGGCACTAAGACCCAACACTGACTAACTGAGAATATTCCAATACCCACAGTGAAATACTAGTCGCAAGATTGCCTAATTTAGTCATCCTAGAGTCTAGCTTGTGCCGCCCTCTATATTTTAAATAAACGAGGGAGTGGATAAAGCATCGGTAATATGTCGATGTATCATTTAAATTTAGTTTTATATGTGCCTTTCTTGCGTCCCATTTTAATTAATTTTTTTTTTATAACAACAAAAACATCACTGAACATTTTATATACAGAACAATGAAGTGAAAATTTAAGATTTAAGGTTATGGTTTAATACAGTTGCAAAAAGGTAATGGCTCTACGTCCTACCAACGTAAGAATAAGGAAATCTAACCAACGTTGGAATTAGTAAAATGTGGTAAAACAGACGACGTTTGCATAACATTGCAATAGGTCCTGAAAGTGACATCGGAAAACTCTTTATTGCCCAACATTGTAACTACGGTGTCCGAATCACCTAAAGATCACTTAAGCAAAAAAGGTTACAAGACAACGTTTATTCGACGTCGCAGAAGCTTTTACTTTGTTGTAGTACTAGTGCAACGTCGGCACAACGTTACAACAACGTTTACATTTATTTTAATACCCAAGGTACGGAGCTAACTATTTTTTGTAACTAATCCAACGTTGTGTTTAGTAAACATGTGGTCGCAAGTCGTGAAAATGCTACTTGGGTGGCCAAACTGAGATAGGCAAAGAAGTGATCATACGAAAGTGGAGATGAATATGGCATACTCTAAGACAACCTAACGACAACATCGCAAGAAATGCCCCTAACTGGAACACACAACGGAAAAGAGGACGCCCTAAACAAACATGGCGCAGAACCGTAATGGAATAGCTAGCGAAAAGAAAATCATGGCAGAAGCTATGCTGGAGAAAATTGCTGAAAACAGAACAAGATGGAAGGTTTTCACTGGAGCCCTATATATGCTCCACTTAGGAACTAAAGGAAACAATGATGATGATGATGATTATAACTTTTATTAAAATTTATATTAACAATGATGTTCAGTTCCAGCTACAGCAAATTCAAGAAAAAAATAATGGTATTTAAGATAATTACACAAAATACCTATTTTTTAAAAGTTTTAACATTCTCTACCTTTAAAAAAAAAAACTATGATCATATTGTACATTTTAAGAACCCATGTTTATATTAACTTTTTTTCCATATTTTTTTATGAGGAATCAATGAGGCCAGTTAATGACTAAAGCTTTTTAAAGGTTGCTATTAATCTTGGATTAAGGCAAATTAATAAAATTGTGTTTATCTCAGCAAGGAGACTGAAAACGGCAAAATATCAATGAAATCTATATAAAGAATGTCATTGCAAAATAAAAAATATATCAAGAGATAAGTTTTAATCGGCATTAAATGACCTACACAACTGTGCTAACAAGAAAAAAGTCAATTGCGCACAGGTTTTTTTGTTCAAAAATATCTTCCCTGTTCCCAAAAATATATGTCCCCCCCTTAATCTCTCGACACTTTTTTATTTAAATCGGTTAATATTATGAGATATTTATTGTGCATCTATTTACTGTTGTAGAAACGTTACTGCAAAACCAATGATGGGAAAATTCAAAACCTACGAGATAATAATAATACATCTTGAAACCGAAGATACACATGCAAAATCATATATCGAGGAATGGAAAATATCCTTAAACGCGGAAGAAGCCAACGATATTGTATTTTACATTTCTGGACAAGCGAAGATCCCCAATTTAGAAATCGGAATCGATAATAAAATAGTAGTTGGTAGCGTTCAAGAAGGATGTGAAGTAACTTCAGTCGTTCATATACAAAACAAGACCGACCTTACAACGAGGCCAGTATTAATATGTGCTGTACTCAAACTATCGTTAAAGATTATTTATTAGAACTGGCTTTAGCTCGCTAACTAATTTTTCGAAAAAAAACATCGCATATATTTTTCCACACAAATCTGCAATTCTCCATTTGACCGACTTTCTAGCTCCAGAAGTTTCCAAGATACCCATAGGGGACATCGTAGAAAACTCACCCTGTATACAATTCAGTGTCCGACAAGAGAAAACAAACACAATAACTACAATAGGTGGTGTCTAGTTTATACACTCGGATGCAAAAACGCAACGGAAAAATCTATGGTCTTTTAGGGTTTTTAAAATGTTATATTTTTTCTATTTTTAGCCCTATTTAATTTTTTAGCAAACTGTATAATATCAACTTTAATTCGTAAACTCTGTTAAACTGTTTTTTACTCTATCTTTAAAATACCCTGTGCAATAATTTCGTGAGCAAATATTCATAAAACATTATTTTTCGGTCAGAACTATGTCCCCTGAATATTTTCAAACAAATGTGTTGGTTAATTTTTAAGAGCAAAATAAACTTGCCACTAACATTTTGCAATTCTTTCAAATTGTCGTTACTGTTTGATGTTATTCTTCATAATGGCGATGTGGCTTTGGTGATTATTATTGTGTACGATTGAATATGATTCTTAGTGTCGATGATTGTGCAAAAGTCATTGATTTTCTTGAAGATGGCTGAAATTATGAGTATTCGCTTGGTCGTTGAAGAATAATGGGAAAACATAACACAATATATTTGCAGCCTCATTAACAGTATGAACCGACGTTTTCAGACACAGACAGTATAGCAGCCAGAGGAGACAATATAAAGTATTAGGTAGAGAATTTTTTACAAGTTTTTAGTTTGTTTGTACGCTTAATTATTATAGTTATTTTTTTTAATATCCTTGATTCTGTTAGTGTTAGTAATATTTATTAAATCCAAGCGTGTATCGTTACTTTTTAACGTTTTTTAAATTTTAATATACTTCGAATCAGTATCGATATGACATTACCTACGACAATAGCCACCTCGTGATATTAAAAAATAACATCATAAAGTAATGATAGTTGAAAAAATTGCAAATTGTTAGTGACAAGTTCGGTTCGCTCTTAAAAATTAACCATAGATAAAAGAAAATAGTCTACTATTAAGATAGATATGAAACTGAATAGTAAAATTTTGGGTCAAAGCGCCCCTCCGTGTTTTTAGTAGAGACTACGTTTAACCCAGCGCCTTCGCCTTTTCTGCTCTAAATGTTTTTTTATATTTATATTTGAATTCAAAGGATTTATTTTTAAAGTTACACTGATATATTAGTATATCAGAGTAACTTTAATAAAACATAAGAATATATAAATTTTACAATTTATTTTTATATTTATTTTACAGAGTTTCATGTAAATGATTGTAAGTCAACTGGCTGTATAAAGAATAGACCGAGATTTATAGATTTTAAAGCGAACGAAAAAAAAATCAAACAACGAATACATACCATATATTTTTCTTTTATTTAAAATACATACCTTATCATCTTTTGGAAACCCGTGCATTTTTGCAATTTTGTTAGTTTCTTTGAAAGATGCAACACAACAAGAAAACAGCATTTTTACAGTTAATAAATAATAAAACTATTTCTGACTATGATATTTAAAATTTAGATAGATAGAAAATTAAAAAACAAACCGGTATTGTACCAGGCCCAAATTCAATAAAAATCAAAAATTTTCCTGCTAAAATCGGGCTTTTTTCACTGAAAAGGTATTTTTTGATTTATCAGTAATCATTGTCAAGTTGACAATATACAGGGTATTTTCTAATTAGTCTAAAAAATGGTGGTGTGATTCCTCATGTGTTCTTAAAACAATTTTTATATAACTATTGGGTCTAAAATACTTAATTTCTGATCTACAGGGTGTTAAAAATTTTAAAAAATCGATTTTTTTGCTTAACATAAATGGTACACCACTGCTTTTTTAAAGAATATATATTTTTTTCTTGACTGGCTATCCTTTTTCAACAAAATTGATCTTTTGAGTTTTTCTTGTTCATCAAACAGTTGTCGAGAAAAAAATAAATATATTTATTAAGAGCCCGCCTTAATCCGTTTTCTAACGATTTTTTATTTTTTAGATTAATTAGGAAACACCCTGTATATGCATATCACAGGCAACCAAATAAACTAGTAACCTCTAAAAATTATTTTTGCTACCACTAGCGACATACCGTGTTTTTAGTATGTACTAAATTATTTTATCAAAATTTCACCATATAAGTTTCCAGGCAATGAAATTAACCAAGGCATTTTGACACGAGTCAAAAAACAAAATGCTCAGGAAACATATGGTTCTGATCGAAAAATAATGTTTTAGGAAAAGTTACACACGAACTTATTGCACAGGGTGTGAAAGTTAGAGTAAAAACCAAACCTTTAAATTAACCCTGTATAATAAGCCAAGGACTAAAGTTTATAAAAAACTGAGTTTATGAATTATAATGTGTTCTTTTTTTATAAATTGGATTAGGATCAATTGGATTAGGATCAAAAAAATTATATTTATGAATTATAATTGATAGATGTATATACACTTTCCTAAAAAATTCACGAAAATAGGGCTAAAAGTAAAAAAATACAACACTATAAACTTAACAAAAAAAGTAGAGTGTATTATTCTTTCCCAATATTCCCCAGCTTCCTGATGTTAGGTTTTGCACCTTGTAATTATATCAACATTAATTTGTAAACTTAGTTTTTTATAAACTTTAGTATTTGGCATACTATACAGGGTTAATCGAGGGGTTGTTTTTTTACCCTAACCATGACACACCCTGTGCAATAATTTCGTGTGTAAATTTTCCTGAAATATAATTTTAGGGTCAGAACCATGTCTCCTGTTTTTTGGATGATGTCAATACATGCCTTGGTTAATTTTTAAGAGCGAAATGAACTTGTCATCAACAATTTGCAATGTTTTCAATTATAATTTATTTTTGAAGTTTTTTTTTTCAATATCACAAGGCAGCTTTGGTGATTATTGTGAACTATATACTACTATAAACTGCCCATCATATTCGACATTTGGGAAATGCTTGGCAGGAGGGTTAGAGGTCGCAAAGCGTTACCAGCTTCATTAAATGAACTTCACTTGGTCCTTAAATAAGAATGGGAAAACATAACGCAATATGATATATGCAGCCTCAATGACATGTATGAAAAAACGTATACAGGCAGTTATAGCAGCCAGGGGAGGCAATACAAAGTGTTTTACAATTTTTTTCTGTTTGTATACTTCAGTATTACAGATGTTTTCCTTAATATCGTTAGTTCTGTTATCGTTATTAATGTTTATTAAAACCAGGACTGTATCGTTAGTTTTTAACGTTTTTTTTTTAATTTAGAATAGGGTATACTATGCAGCGTAATATGATGTTACGACAATAGTCACAAAAACCATTTCATCTTTTTAAAAATTACATCAAAAGTAATGATAAATGAATAAATTGCAAATTGATCGTAATCAGTTCATTTCGCTCTTAAAAATTAACCAAAGCATGCATTGAAGTGATCCAAAAAATAAAATGCTCAGGAGACATTGCTCTTACCGTACAATTATATTTTAGGAAAATTTGCACACGAAATTATTGTACAGGGTGTTTTAAAATTAGAATAAAAAAACAACCCCTCGATTAACCCTGTATAATATGCCAATTACTAAAGTTTACAAAAAATTGAATTTACGAATTAAAGTTGATATAATTATGTACAAAATACATATTACAATAACTACTAAAAAATGCATGCAAATGGGGCTAAAAATAACAAAAATATAACACTTTAAATTTGACCAAAAATTTCTCTGTTGCGTTTTTTTTGCATCTGGGTGTAGGATACGGATAGCGTATCCATAAATCTCACCGTACATGTAACTGCTAAGAACACCATGTAATTGATCCGGTCTATTTTCGATGATTTACGAGGGACACCATGAATCACATTGTATTGTTTTTTTTTTTTCAAAATTAGACTGGCAGGTGGCTTAGGTGATATGCAGCTTCCAGTGAAGTCCTGTCAAATCACCATTCCTACAATCAAATCAGATCAGAAATATAGCATTTATTTAATGGTGTACTTATTAAATATTTCTAATCTTTCAGTTATCAGTTTGAGTGGAATAAACAATGCAGTTTAAAAATTACTCCCAGTGATGGTATCTTAGGACCGAACGAAGATACGTTTGCGAAATTAACTTTAACAGCTCACGCTTCCCAGCCTAATAGGGAACTTATCAGTTGTACAACTCATGCCGTCGATGCAAGAGGCGCAGTCTACGGCAAGTCATATACCAATGAAGTTGAAGTCGAAATGGAAACTTCATATTCACAATTATGCGTAAGAAATTACATAAAAATATCTTATAACACCGCATGATAAAAATAGTTACACCAGAAATTGTTACAAGTTTGTCAATATGATATAAAATTGTTTTGCTGAAGTACCTACATATCTGTTATTTTATATCTCCATTTAAAAATTTTGTTAAATTGTTTGATTTGACATTGATAAATGATCATAAGTACATTCTACATGTCAAAACAGCGTCCATTTGGCTTCCATTTCCCATATAATTTTACATGTAAAAGGACAACGATTTTCATTTCCAAGCCAAATCAAACCAAAATGGACGAAAAACGAAAAGTACTTGACAGTTAAATAAAAATCAAATGTAGTTCATATCAAATAAACTTTTAGTCACGTGATTAAGCTTGACCGGCACAGCGTTGCCCACTTTTACATATTTTCTTTTAATCAAAATATTTTAAGAAACAACAGTAAGTTATTATTTACAGCACTTTTAACGAAAATAAAGGACCATTACTACCGCTTTCCCGTTCAAGTTTTTTACGACTATTAAACTATCTTGTACACTTCGCACTAAAAGAGGTTCTAAAAAGAACAATGCTCGACTGCAAGGTCTGCTACTAAACATTTTTAAGCTCAAAGTATCACAAAATAATTCATTTAAACCAAAACTCGTAATACAAAACTAAAATGTCAAAACGGATGACAATGTCAGGAAATAAATAAATAAATGTGGCAACTTGACATTTTCTTACAGCAGAGCTACCACCTGAATCCCCAGCTTGGCGCCGAATATGTCTATGGTTGGTAACAATGAATTTAAAAATCACGCCCCCTATTACGTAACTAAAAGTTTAATAGGTATCGAATATACTTACCTAATTTAATAAAAGAAATTTGTTTATCTGATTTCATTTACAAAGCACTATTATTCATTAAACTTATGATCATCCTGTATTTTAAACCTGCAGATTTCGTTGTTGAGTTATTCCAAAATATCGAATTAAAATTTAAAATTGTTTAGGATAAAGCGAGATGACAGTGTCAAAGTGTACTTGGACCTTGGACCAAATACACTTGGATGATAAACTTTACTTATAATGCTGTGCGCGTCTTACTTGTATGTGTTGCTTGTATCGTATTAACTAATTTAAAACCGGTTAATATGGCCATCCAAATGGCGTAGCCAAGACAAGTTGACATGGTGTAACATCCGATTGACTTGGTCCAATTATTACACTTGTATACAATAGAAATGTTCACAAAAAAATTAAAACGTGCCTACTTCTCATAAAATCATTCATTATGACATTAAAACTCAGTATGCAAAGTTTCATAGCATTCCGTAAAAAGCTTATGCCTCAAAAATCCGTCCAAAATTAAGGTAATCGTTTAAATCCGTTAAACGCTCACCTACGGCACTGCTTCGATCGATATTTCCGCGCGAGTAAACGGTGCTGTCTGCACGCTGTGGAATTTCTAAAGCGGTCCATACATTAACAAACAAATTGCGCAACGAAGCGATGCGCAACGTTGCGTTGCACAACTGATTCAGCGGTCCATACATTATCAAACAAGTTGCGCAACGAAGCGATGCGCAACGTTCCGTTGCACAACTGTATCACCCATGCACTTAGTAAAGTTTTGGTCAAACTTTTCATTAAAAGTTGTGCATTGTTTGAGAAATAATCATGTCCTCAATTGCCATTGCGTCAATTATTATCGTATATACCCTAGATGATTTCAATGATACCAAAAAACGAAAAAGAAAACAAAGAATTTGGATGAAAGAACTAAAATATTGCACAACGAAGCGCAACACACATATACACTACACATCGCGCTGCGCAAACGCCTGTTGCCCAAAAGAATTCAAACATTCTTGACACTTATCAAAAATTTGCGCAACGCATCAAACGTTACCATACATTGGCAACTCGTTGCGCAACAGCCTGCGTTGCGCAATTTGTTTGATAATGTATGGGCCGCTTAACAGCTAGAATACGATATATATCGCGTTGTGCTCGAATGTAGTTTGTATATTAATTTTGGTTTATTGTCATTAATATTTGGAGTTTATTACTAGTTTAAAAACAAAGCTACTTAGTGAGATGGAGGACGAGTTTACTTGAAAGCTATAACAAACAACACTTGGTTTTTAACAATACAAAATAATTGAGTTTTTGAGCTGTTAGAGGCCATATTTAGGAGGAGGGGGGCAAATTTTAAATTTTAATTATCATATTAAACTGAAAATTTGCATGCGTATATAGAAGTTAAGACAATGTAAAATTGTTGTATTGTTGATCTGATACAGGGCCGAATTAAGGAGAAGGTGCCAAATCTTAAATTTTAATTGTATTGACCTGAAAATTCGCACACGTATACAGGGTATCCAGTTTAAAATGAGGTACCTACATGGGGAATAATGGGGATCTTGGAGACCGTTAAAGTTACAAGATCGGTTAAATAGAAGAAAAGTTGCGTTTTTGTGTATCCAAAAATAATCTAGGTCTATTTTATTTAATATTCATATACCGTTACGTAAATACAGGGAGAAAAAGAAAAATAATGTGCATTTTCTAAACACCACCATATTTTCTTTATTATTGGAGCTAAGGTCATCAAAATTTTAACATAGGGGTAAGGCAATATGAAAATTTTAAAAAGTATGTATGCACTTTTGCAAAGTAACGATTTAAACTTCTGTGGATTATTTTTTTAAGTATTAATACACCCAGGGACAAAACACCACTTATTTGAACTCATTTTACTTCTTCAAAACACCAAAACAATGATAATAAACAATACACCATCGCGAACGTCTGCAAAAACAATGCGGCAATTGCACGATCGTACAGACGCCATCGATCGATCAAAGCAGTGACGTCAAAAACAGGTAGCCTCGAGCCGGGTACGTTCTCAATTTTGTTTTGCGTTTATGTGAAAAAATTATAGTTTTTAAGAAAAATTTTGAGTGTCATGTTTTTTTACTCATATGTAGCTATTATCCAACAAAGTTTTTTCTTTAAATTTTGGTATATAATATTTACTAAATTGTATATTTTAAATTTTAGGCCATACCAAAGAACAAAGATCTAGGACTAATTGAATATGGATCTCAAATAAAAGTTCAATTTCTAGCATATAATTTTGGGGAGACGCCTGTATATTTCCATTCGGCTTACGATATCGTAAACGAACCACAAAGAGTAATTAGTAATTAATTCACATCCTTAATATATCAAACAAACCAGCAAACATTTTTAAGAATTAAAAATTAATGACAGACCTATTATAGTTAAGGTTTCCATAAAGGCTTTTGGTAATTCCGGACAAGAGAGCTCAGAAATTCGGACAAAATCCGGATGTCGCAAAAAAGAAACTATAAATTTATTTATGAACTTTTTATACGACACAAATAATAGTTCCGGAATTAACAAAATATAAACTAAAAAAACATTCACTTTCCAGGGGTGCAACAAAAGCAAAAAATTTCAGCGCCAAAGTATAGAGATGCGTACTTTCGAACATGCATCGGTTAAGTAAAGCTGTAGCATCGTAGAGACTAAAATATTCAACAAAGTAACTGAGAAATTAATTTAACTGTAACTGGGTAAAATATTCGACTAAATTAAATTGTTTTTGCAGTCGGGTTTCCCGGACACTATAAACTTAACCGCCGGATACTTTAAAATCGGGACGTATGGATACCCTAATTATTGTAATTATAGCTAACATCGAACAAAAAGCGCCTATGTTTTTTTCTTGATCACTTCACCGTTATCTTCTAAAACAACAGGATCACATCATAAAATATTTATTTTATTAAAAAACTAACAACTTATACCAAAGAAACACTTCCTCGTGTTTTGAGGCATAGTGATAGATGTAATATGTATGATACAAATGATATTGGATTCACGGCAAACAACAAAAAGCAGGAATGGATGACGCAGGAAATACTAGACCTCATGGATGACAGACGGAAGCACAGGGCAAACCCGATAGAATTCAAAAGTTTGAATGGGATCATCAGGAAAAAGTGTTTGGACTGCATCTCAATGTCTCCAAGACCAAACTGTTGGTCTTTTTTAAGACTCCAATAAATGCACACCTGCGTGTCAAGGGACAAACAATCGAACAAGTGACCTCAATAAAGTATTTAGGAGCTAACATCAATAATAGTCAGTGCGACCCGAAAAGAGAAATATTTTCAAGAATTGAGCAAGCGAGAAAAATCTTCGTGAGCATGAAATCATTTTTTATAAGACGAGACCGCAGTGCGGAACTCAGAACTCGAATGGCCAGATGCTACGTCTTCTCTGTGTTACTCTATGGATGTGAGAGCTGGACACTGGATTCACAGACCGAAAAGAGAATAGAATCCTTCGAAATGTATGTGTACAGTGTACAGACGGATGCTGCGAATCTCATGGGTACAAAGGATCACCAACGGTGAAGTACTCCAGCGCATGAACGCATGCAGAAACAAAAGAAGATACTGAACACCATCAAGGAAAGAAAAATGCAATACCTGGGTTATGTGATGCGAGGTGGTAGATACGAAATACTGCGCCTCATAATACAGGGCAAAGTGTGAGGGAAAAGATCAGCTAGAAAGACACCAGAACTCATGACTAAAAGATTTAAGGAGATGGTTTGAACGCTCGTCTGCGGAAATCTTCCGGGCTGCAGTTTCCAGAGCCACAATTGCCATTTGAATCGCCAACCTTCGGCAGGAGAGGGCGTGATAAGAAGATAGATGTAATTCTGTTATCGATACTGTATCTAATATCAAAATTTAGGACCTAAATTACATTATTTTTTTGAAACATATACAGTAGTATTTTACAATATAAATTTTCTTCCAATAGTAAGTAGTATGTCCCGCAAGTCAGTGAAGATTTCAACTTTTAGACCATCTGAAAAATGACAGAAAGTACAATTTACCTGTAAATTAAAATAAAAAACAACGTTTGTATTGTATCCCCTCAATGGACAGACTTTAGACCAACGCTTTAATGTTTGCTGAGTTTTTCACGCCATGTATACAGGGTGCGTCTCAAAAGTGGCTCACCCCTACAACTTTTTTATTTTTTGAGATAAAAAAAACGACATTTGGAATGTTAGTATATCACATTAGTTATGATAGATTGATAATTTCCCAATATGCTGATTAGCATATTTGGAGAAGGCATTTTTTTACGAATCATTTGGTACCACACACTTGGTATTTCTAGTCAAATTGTCGTTATGAACCGCATGTTACAATTTCAAATAAACCATATGCGAAAGAGTGTCGTTTTCTATCGAATAAAGTAAACATATACTTTATAGGGTGCCATTTAAAAATCAAAAATTGTAATCATTTCCGGTGAAACAGGAAGTGACCAAAAACAATTGAAAATGTCAATCAATCATAATTTATGCCATATACTAACTTACCAAATCTGTTTTCTTTTTATCTGAAAAAATAAAAAAAGTTATAGAGGTGAGCCATTTTTGAGACACACCCGGTATACTAAAAAATTCAACTTTCAGAGAAAAACTCTTATATTTAAACCATATTTTGATGAAGTTAAACCGAAATGTTCTCGAACGTTTCATATTAGCGGTCCTGTTACATTAACTGGACCCCAAATAGTAAATTTTGGATATTTCAATAGACCTTCAAAAAATAGCACTTTGCCTGTTGGAAATATGGTAGAATTATTTCAATTGAAGTATGTTTGCGAGCTCCCATATATTCAAGTAATCCAATAGCGTATTTAATAAAGGAAAATAAATGTCACTTTTCACGTTCAACTTTCAGATTGAAGACGTTACGGAACATAATTTTGGATCTCTCTTCAGTAGACACCAGTTATACAGTAATTATTTAAATATCGACAAGTATAGAGCTTATCAAACCTATTTGACAAAAAAAACATGAACATATGAAATGTTTTCTAGCTTTAACTATGTTTTAAAATCCCTTAGCAGTAACAGGACTGCAGAAATGTACATCAGATTGCCAGAATGTGAAATTACGACAAAAGAATTTTATATGGTACTGTTTTTAACTAATTCTACCAATTTCCCAACTGAAATTGTACTTAAGAGGAAACAAATGTGTTCTTGTGCTCTGGTTGAGAAAAAGACTTCAGGCTTTCACGAGAGAAAATTAGAGTATGATTGTATTCACAAAGAAATAGTTAGTTTGGAGTTAAGTAATAACAAAATTGCTGTAAGTAATACATTTTGTCCAATACAACCTCCCATAATAAATTACAGACATAGAATATTTAGTTAAATTGGTAGTCCTAAATTCATTTCCGATTTTGATCAAACTTTTTGCGAAATATAAACATTATGCCTCGAAATATTATCCTGAATTTTACTTCTTTAAATAATACTGAATTGGAATATTAGCATACAAGGTGTTTCTTAAATAGTCTATAAAAATTTAGGGTGTAAAGCTTGATTTTCATGCAACCGTTATCCGTTGATACGATGGTCAGACCCACCCGGCTCTGATTGGTCATAGCGTTTTCGCGCCACTTTTCATCCGTAAACTTTTTACTCCAGCCCGTCAACGGAGAAAGATCGTACGATAACGGACATTTTGGCTCTTTTTTGACAAATTTAATCTAACCGTAATAAAAGTATAATAATAAAAAAGCTAGCAACTCCGGGAAAACGAGAATTTTAAAAAAGCTGGTTCTTTAATATATACGGGCCGTCTGGCTGCCGGTAGACTACTGCGGTTCACTACTGCGCATCACATCTGTATAAGGTAGAATATCCCATTTTCGTGTGGTTTATAGGATTTCTCGTTTATGGGTAGAGATATAATGATGCGATTTTCACATTACTTTGTTACTTTTTTATGAAACTAAATATGCTACACATATGTTTGTCCTAGCCTCCTTAGTTCCTGAAATACAGGGCGAATTTGTAATGCGCAGTAGTGAACAGATGTTTAATACAGATATGATGCGCAATAGTGAACGTAACGTCTACCGGCAGCCAGACGGTCCGCACCCTCTTCAGGAGAGCATAGCAAAAGATATATTAAAGAACCAGCTTTCTTGAAATTCTCTCTCGAAAACGTTGCAAGCTCTTAGGCTATAAGTAAAACAGCGAAATCGTTATGAAAATGAAAATATAAAATGACACCAATCACAAGCAAATCGTATATCCGATGAACGGAGGCATGAAAATGCAATAAATTTTAAGACTGCGTAATTTTCTAACCAATCAAAGTCTTCCTAATTCAACCAATAAAATTAATATCGTATCATCGTATCGTCGGACAACGGATGCATGAAAATCAAGCTTTAATTCCTAATACGTTTTTAAGAAAAAAAGTTTATATGAATATGGGTTCTAAAGTACTTCCTCTTTAATCTACAGGGTCTTAAAAATTAACAAAAAAAATCGAATTTAATTGTTTTAGAATAAATGGTATGCCACTGCATAAAATAAATGGTATGCGTTTTTTCGAGAAAAGAATAATTTTTTTTACTTGATTGTTAATACTTCTTCTCTTCAGTTTTTCTTGTATATTGAACGGCTTCCGAGAAAAAAAAATAAAGCCAGCCTCGATGTGCATGTTTACAGTTTCCATCATTTTTAAGATATGCAATGTAACTGATTTTTTTCTCGAAATCCGTTCGGTGTACAAGAAAAACTCAAGAGATGGATCTTGTTAAAAAAGGATGGACAATCAAGATAAAAAATTCTCAAACAATGCAGTGGCGTACCATCTATTTTAATCAAATAATCCAGAGGTGTGCGCGTAAGGACACCACTGGTTTAAGCTTAGATTAAGAATAAGGTTTAAGTAGGAAAACAACAGTTAATGGAAATGAACTCCCTTTATACCTAGAAGCAACATACCAAAATTAAAGAAAATATCTAAAATAGTTTCCGACATATTACGAGGATTTTTTTTTAATTTTTAACACCCTTTAGATCAGAAAGAATGTACTTTAGACTCCATGGTTAGGAGAAAAAAAGGCATCAAGTTAGCTTAGCAATAACACTGCCTTTTTTATCGTTTAATTCGGAATTATTAATGAATTCAAAAAATGCAATAATTTCTTTAAAAAAGTGTATTATCTCTTAAAAAGCAGATATGGACATAGATCAAACAATTTTGTATCATATCTTAGCGCACACTTCTTCACAAGGACGTCAAGTGTCAAACAGTAACTTATATGTATCTGCTTGTATACTAATCAAACAGCTGGTTTCTTTAATAATTAAAATCCAGAAGTTTTACCAAAATCTGAAAACAATTTAAATCGTTATAGAAATATCAACCTAACTAAAATTATCTTTGTTAGAAATTTATTACTGAAAATTCGGAGATTTTATTTTTAATTTTGTAAATATCATACCATCTATTTTTTTCCAGCCTAACGGCATTGGATATTTGACTATTCGAGTAAAATATACTGTTCCCGAAAAAACTGCTATTTGTCATATTATACAATTAAGTCATAAAAGACACCTAGAAATTTACTTTAACGTAGTTGCCATAGCAAAAAAAGAACCCCACCTTGCGTTTTATTCCGAAAACAATGAATCTCTACTAGAACTAGAGAACATATTTATAGGCACTAGAATAGCACCTGTACAAACTGTATGGATGTATAATAACACAAGAAATCTAGTCCATTACAATTTTGACATTACAGAACTTGAGAGATTATGTAGAATTGAAGGATTCAAAGTGCTGGAGTTGCTGAATCCTAATGATCAAATTGATCCTTATAGTTCCAAAGCTTTATTAATACGATTTCATCCAATAGAAGCTAAAACTTATAAGTTTTCAATTGGAGCTACATACCAAATCCCTAAGGGCTTAAAAAAGAAATTTGAACTTCAGATTCATGGAGAGGGATGTTTGAAATCAAATGAAACTCCTGCACATCATTATTTTTCCAAATCCACAAGTAACGTGCTCCAAAATAATCTAGATATTGTTTTTTCACAAGAGTATATTACTGCTAAAGATTTAACGGTTTGGAATAAAAGAAAGAAGATTATTTTTCTTAAAAACATTTCTAAAGAAAAAACTATTCAATATATTTGGGGATCGTATGTACCTAATTATTATCTTTTGTATACAGAAGGTGGTCCGAACTGTATTCCGGAAACTTCGGCAGCATATTCTGCAGATTTTTATTTCGATTTTTTCCAAATAATTTCTAAAGTAAAGTCAATATTTGACTGAAAATTAGTGTCTGGGAATTTTTTGACAGGAGAAATTTGATTTTGATATCAATATGACTCCTAGTAGTGGGTGGCGCCACCTACATGTGCTTTAACTGTTTTGAAGAGTAATAACTTTTCGTCTATACCTGTATAAAACTACTGAGTGAAAAAAAATACCAGTTAATTTCCGTGACTTTTTATATTAAAGCTCACTTGGTAAAAATCGCTACGAGCAACCGTTCTCAAGATATTTAGAATTCAAATAGTCAATACATGTCATTATTGACAAAAAGTAAATACGTTGAGTAGATAGTTATTTGACTGAAATAATAAATTTGGGAAATTTTTAATTTTTTAAAATAATCATAAATTTTTGCGAAAAAATGATAATAAAACAGTTTCTGTTAAACTTTTGACATAAAAACATTTCAAATTTATGATTTCAGTCTAAATAACTATTTAATCAACATGTTCAATTTATGTCAATAATGACAGGTATTGATAATTTCGATTCCAAATATCTCGAGAACCATTACTCGTAGCGATTTTTACCAAGAGACCTTTTTAACGTAGAAAACGTCGTAAATGTAGATTTTTTACGCAGTAGGTTTATACAGGTACGGACGAAAAGTGATTTCTCTTCAAACCAGTTAAAAAATATGTAAGTGGCGTCATCCATAAAATAATTAACTAGAAAGAAGTGTCAACTCTGTGTTAAATCGTGGAAACACGATACGCCACCGAAAGCCTTCGTTGTCGTCTGGAGAACTAATTTTCCAATTGACAGGTTGACATGATAAGGACATGATGGCTTAATTTTCATTTCCGTTTCCGGTTATTCAATGGCGGGTCCTCTTTCAGTTCAAATGTATTTTGTATTTTTACTTTTCATAAATAAAACCAAAAAATTATTTATTCACATATATTTATTTGAAATATGGAACAACGTGACTAAATAAATATAAAAATATAGAGGATTGTATTGTTTCAATACCAATTAGTTAATTATATGTACTTTTAACGTAAATTAGTTAAGGTATAAGCATGACTTACAGTATTTTGTAAATAAACACACGTATTCGCAGACTTCAAGGACAGAAAACGGACACAGGAACATGAAAACGGGAGCCTTATACAAAAACCTGAAAACAGAAAAACAATTTTTTTATACTAAAATTAACAATGTAAAAATATCAATAGGTATAAAATATAAATATACTGTTTAAAAAAGCGTCCATTATTCCCAAAGAGGCCTGGCTTATAAATCAAAAAGAAGCAAAAAGAGACTTTTAGTCGGATAACATAATCAGATTATCAGTCCGATTTATTGCATTATTGACAATAAATCGCACATACTGGAGATAACTAATGTTGGCTATAGTTAAAAATGATCTTACCTTGCTGTAAATTGCTTCCATTTTCAGAAAAATCGCCGATCAAAGATATTATAATACCCTTTTCTTGCATCTAAAAAATGTAAAAACAGTGTTTATTTACTACCTATTTTTCATATACATGGGACATACCTACTACTGCAGAAACGTCGTTTTCTCCAGGATTCTTCATGTAATATATATTTTATATACTTTATTACCATTATATTTATAAATTTCAGCCGAAATATTAAATTGAACTTCCAAAACGAAACTAAACGGAATGAATTAAAATGGCGTCGAATATTTTCGAATTTGTTCTAGAACAAATCTGAAGTTGTCTCTGAAACTGAAATCTGTCAATTCTAAACTGTGAAGTTAGACAATAGTTAGACAAAAACAATGCTGTCCTTGTCTAGGCGGCCATACTTGTCGTGAGGAGAATGACAGGAATGACACTAATGACTGTTTCCAATTTTCCTATTTCACTGTCACCCCCCTGGCGTCATCTTCAAGTAGGAGTCATATTGACATCAAAATCAAATTTCTCATGTTGAGAAATGAACTTCCAGACACAATTTTCATCCAAATATTCACATTACTTCAGTAATTATTTGGAAAAAAATCGAAATAAAAATGTAAATTCTACACCCTGTATCTCCGAAACTAAGCGTTTTAGGACATACATTTATACGAACTTTTTTGCTTATTTTTATCTGCAGAATATGCTGCCGAAGTTTCCGGAATACGATTCGGACCACCCTGTATACTTTATTAAAGTATTTATTACAGCGTAATAATAAACAACGTGCTAGAAATACATGCAGAAAAAAAATTTGGAGTTTTAGAACCAAAAGAAATACAACCAGTTATAATTATCATTAAGTCACTCGCAGAACCTTGTATTGCAACAGTTTTGTTGCCTTGTGAGATCATAAAATATACAGACACAATATTACATGAACTTACCAAAGAAAAACATGAATCGGTTTCTCAATTAGTTACACAAGAATTTACAATCACAGACTCACCTGCAGTTGAAACTAAGGTAAATATCATAAATTTTATTTAAACATATTTGGTAAATATAAAGTTGAGGTTTGCGGTTAGTACTAGCTTTGGTACTAGTGATGTAACGAACATTAATTAATTTTCACATATTCGCGAACTAAGTTCGCAAATCCTACAAGATGTTCAAAATTCTATGCCAAACTTTCTAAAATATAAAATAATTTTTCTTTATTTTTTTATGAAACACACTGTATATTATTTATGTATATTTTTATTAGATAGAGAGTTAAAAAATGAACATTTTTTGTATTTAAAGTATTTCAAGATTTTTAATGGTTTAGTAAATATACACAGTATTACTTCATATGGCGCTTTCAACGGTAAAATAGGAGAAAAATAATTGGGTGACTTTGATAAAAATTTACTGTGAAAAATACCATATGAAATAATATAAACGGAAAGCGTACTTCTTCATACCAGACAATTCCATTGTCTGATTCCCTTACTTCTCGACTTGACTAAAAGATGGCGCCTGAAAAAGTCTTTTAATTTCTGGCGGATACGTTGCGGTTGTGCAGGCAACCAGTAATACATTTTTAATTTCTGGCGGATACGCCATTTTTCTTGACAATATACTAGGGGGGTATTCCATTAAAAAAACAAAGAAAAATTATTTTATATTTTAGAAAGTTTGGCATAGAATTTTGAAATCGTGTATGATTTACAATTACCATATTTATAGCAAAGTAAGAGCAGACCATCTAAAGTAAATCTCTAATATAGTTTTGATTTCAGAACAGTTCTTGTATTTTTAATATTTTTTTCAGAAAGGCTGAAAAATATATATTTTTTATTTATTTATTAATATCTCTGAAACTATCGAAATATATTTACTCATATCTTAGGATTATGTAAAGTGATCTGAAAGGAAGCCAAAATGCAATAATATACAGGGTGTTTCATTAAAAAAATCATCCTGATTTACTCACACTTTTTTAAGCCACCCTGTAGAAGTTAAGATATTTTCCTGAAATACATCCTAACACATACTTTAGATTGACACTTATACAAAATTCCTAAGTTTTTATTCTAGGGTGTGTGTATGAGGGTGTCTGGGTTGCATATTGATGGTTTCTTGTCATAGATAAATGCAGACCATATCTTCCTATCTTGATTATCTACCAATAGTTTTGCTTTTGCTCACGTGCTTCCCTTTCTTTGTAAAATATGTTCATCTATTTTATTCAACGTTTGGTCTGCCTCTATTTGTTTTGCCTTGAGTCCTTGCTTCCCATATTTTCTTCACTGGAATGTCGTTATTCATCCTTTGGAAATGTCCCCACGAACTACTCAATTGTCGTTCTATAAATTCTTGCATTGACTGGTTTTGTAAATTTTCTCTTATTATATCGTTCCTCATTCTGTTTTTTTAATAGAAGTTTTAGTAAATAAGAAATAGCACCGCATAGTGCATCAAACAAAAAAGGTGTTCATCAATATGCAGAATTTTATGCTGAACTTATCATTCCTTTTTTTTGAGGCTCCCTGTATAAACAACAAAATATTTTTGATATGCACCTTTATAAACTGTGCTACATTTATATAAAACTTTTTCGCACTAATGGGCCACTCTGTTTTTTTTCCGTGAATTTTTTCGACATATTAATAGTTATTTTGCTATGCAGGGTAGGGACGAATCCAACAAATCAGAGATTATTGAAATCGGTCCAGCCGTTCTTGAGATATAAATTGTGTAACTTACACGAGTTTATTTTATAAACGTGTACAGGATGAGTCTTAAAATAAGTGCAAATATTTTCAGGGGTGGTATATTTCGACCTTAGAAACACGCCTATTCACAAATAAAAATTGAAAATTCGAAATTTTACGAAAAATTGCATTTTTTCTAATTATTAGTTAAAAACATGATATTTTGATATTATGACAACATAAAAGTTGTGGCAATATAAGATTAAATTTATTAAATTTTATTTGAAAAACGGCAAAGAGAAAATGTTTCTTTTATAGAGATCTACCAGTCCTGAAAACATCTGCACCACAGATTTGCACTCTTAAGACTCACCCTGTATAGATATAGAAATTGGCAAACTTTTAATAGAAGAATACGTTGGATAAAATTGACATGTTAAATATATTTTTATCAAAAAGAAATTTAATAGAGGATGGTGTTTTGTTTCCTGTATTAATATTCTTAGGTCCAAAAAAGATAATATTTCGGTCCAAAATAAAAACAATATTTAAGACTGAAAAAAAGGTAAAAGATGAATGCGTTTTTGTTTCATAATATATTATATAAGTTGATTAGAATACCAAAGTAAACCATTACCAATAATTGAAGAAAGACTATGCTAAGTTTTAAGGATAAAACTGTTTTCTAACCAAAATTATAGGAAGTTAATTTCTGTTTGATGTACCTAATGTTATTTATGTTTTATATAATTTAGCAAACGTCGATATTCACGTAAATTTTATGATGCGAATACAAATGTCAAAAAAATATATGAATATTCGTTACATCACTACTAAGTACATACTGTTAATAACACAATATTATTATTGACTGTTATTTTTTTGGTAGAAAAAACCCATAAAAATTGTTCCTAAACCAGACCCTACAACAATTACAATATGCTTCGATATTTCAAGTATCCATCCAAAAGATTTGGATTGCACCATGGAATCCACAAAACAGTTAAAACAGTATCCAAATGAGGCAATGAAAAATATAGAAACACGTCTTCTAGAAAAATACTATCCAGATAAGTTTAAAAAAAGTAATTTTCCTGAACTTACATGTGATTTAATAATGAATGTAGATGAAAAAAACTTATGCTGCAAAATTCTTGAAGAACTTATATCGTAAGTATTCTGTATGTATCACCTTTAAACCTTCTACTGCCAATGGTATCTATTTTAGTGACGTAACTTTCAGTAACTACTTTAAAAATTACCTCCAAATTGCTTCAAAGGCCCCATCACATTACTATTTAGAATTCATTATGAATGATTATGAAATTATATCTGCAAAAAAATTTCAAACGCCACTGTCCAAAGAAGATATTGCTAGTTATCGAAAGAAAGTAGTGGAAATATTTTTAAACCAATTAAAATTACCAGAATTATCAAATATTTTGGAAAATATTATTTATGATAGCATGTTAAAAATGAGTCAGTGTCCTGAAAGAAAGTCAGATATAAAAGATGTTACAGAAAAAATTAAAAACCAACTACTGAATTGTAAAAAGACTGATTGCACATGTCACAAAAATTTGGTATAATAAAAGTATATGTATCAAGTTATTTATTTTTAACTAGTATTATTAAAGTATGGGTCAGAAATTTTTTTAAATACAGCTAAAAATTTATCCCCATTATTTCGTGTAACTTTTTGTCCCTCTTCAGTACTACTATATAACTTCTCTATAATTGGATCGTCCTTCTATAATATATAAACGGAGTTTATTTAATGTAAATAATGCATATAATTTAAGAGTTACCAATTCTTCTTCTCCCATTCTTTCAAACAAGGGGTGTTTACTTAAATGATCTGCCATCCATTCGTGTAAATCTTTTACATCTGTTATTGTATAAATTATTCCCCCATCGGCTAAGACGTAAGCATATTCAGCAAGCAGACATTCATTAATAATTCTCCATTTGTGTTTTGCCTTTTTGAAATGGGGATCTGGGTAAAGAAAAAATAACTTTTTCAACTAAAATTACATTATTTAAGATCATAATTAGTCAAGTAACAAAATATGCTTTTTACCTGGCCTTTCTTAAAAAAATTGGGTAAATATTTCATAGCGTTAGATCTTATGCAGGCAATATTTTGATATTGCGAAGGATGTTGTGATCTTAAAGCAGCTATTCTATCCATCACATAATCTGAAACTTTGACTCTAATTTCCATTCCTTAAAAGAGAAAATACATACATTCGGATACAAAAAATCAGCCTTTATTAATTGTAATGATTAAAAGATGGAATAAACTAAAAACAAACCTAAAATAAGAGTATTTGGAAACATAGGGGAAAGTGTAATAAGCAACCCTCCATAACCACATCCAATATCCAAGAATTCGACTTGCACATTTTCATTATTATCATTATTTTGTTTAATCATCTCGGGATAATGTTTAAACCAATCCATTTCATCTGGAGTCTGAGGGCTATAATAGAATTAAAATTTACGTAATTATAATAGTAGAGAATTTTATTAAAACGACTTACTAATCAAAACAATGATCTGCCATAGGGTTTGAGTGGGCTCTTTGCCTGTAATGCCTTTTTTGAGGCAATGACGTTGAAGGTGCAGCTTCAGTCATTTTCCAAATATGTCCAAATAAAACCTTCTCTGCCTTTACTATACTACCTGCTATAGAAATGTACTACTTGAATCAATTAATTGTTCAAATAAACTAAATACTAAATAAAAACATGCCATTCAACGATTCACAAAAACCGAAAATTAAGAGGTTAGGCTGGGTTAGGTCACAGGGTTAGGTGAAAAATCTACCTCCATTATTTAAATTGCCTACCATAGATTAAGCCGGATAGCCTTGGCAGCTGTGGCCAGTTTCATGTCTATTCTGAGGGAAAACCAGAGGAAAAGGAAAAAACATGGGAAAGGGTGGAAAATTCTTTGCGGAAAATTTCATTGATAAAATTTAGGAAAAACTTTGCTGTGCACCTAAATAAAATTGAAAAAATTAAAAATGTTAACACTTCTTGTATAATTTATGTATTAGAATTAGGAATGTTCTTTACTCTTCTTTTCTCTATGAAAAGTACCTATTATATTTATTTATAATAGCTAATTCAAAAATTACCCAAAAAGAAGAGCTTAATATATAAACCTAATATTTAACTTTTTTGTTTAATTTCTATGATATAATTACCAACGATTAATAAACTATGAGGAATATACCTACATATTATTTACACATATTTCTCCTCGAAAATTCGTAGTCAATGGTGCAACTACATAAAGAAAGATAGTAAAAATTATTAGTAATTGAGTAAAATTTATTTCTTTCTCTATGTGCAAATAGACATATTTCTAAGGAGATAAAGTCTTTGGGGGGGGTTAGGTCAGTATAAGAAGATAATATAGATTTGATGTTAAAACCAATTTTAAACGATCGACAGCAGTCATCTGAGGGGGCTGAGCCCACCTTAACGCCCCCATTGTTGCGCCACTATAAATTTTCCGTATGAAAAGTGATCAACTTGCATGTCATATTATCTTAAATCGAAGACATCGAAGAATCGTGCTATATGCTATATGCTATACGCTATCGTGCTATATGCTATACTATACCACACTATACTATATGCTTATAATATTTTTTCACTATGGTATGATAAACGGTTAAAACCAAAGGCTAAAACCTAAGTAGATATCAGTAGATATTATCCTTTTAAAAACAATTGATTTCCTATATAACCTTTTTAGTAACCCTCTTAATAAAGCCTGATAAAGCTGCCACAGCAACCCGCTGCGCTGCACTGTATGGGAACATTTGAGAGCGAGGCAATAAGAAAATAGGATCTAGAGTGCGCCTATCATATTAATAACAAATAAATGAAGAAAGTATAAAATTTGTGTAAAGCTTGTAAAGTATAATTATCTATTTCGATGGCACGATGTTACGGACATAAAACACATATAGGTATGCGGAGTTTCGGGTGTAGAATAGGACCATCCAAAAGGGGTAGTTTAGTGGGTCATTGGAAGAGTCCTAGATGACTCAGCGCGCGCTGTTAAAAAACTCAGACTGAACACTGAATGTCCGGAGCAGGAAGCAAGAGATAAACATCCACAGGACGCAATGGCGATTTCACCAGTAAAGGTAAGATATAATCAATTTATTTTCAGTAAGAAGTTCCCTATTTATTATCTGTAATTATTTGTAATTCGTTTTCACCTAGGGTCAAGTGGTGTCAAAATAAAACATTTTTCAAAGCTTTAATTAATTTTTTTCTTAATCAGAGTCGTATCAATGTATTTCTTGTATAAAAGGCATTTGATAATAAGGGAACTATTTTAAAAGTAAAAACATACCAAAAGTAGGTACCAATGGAAAAGAGTCAGTAAGGAGAAAATGGTTTTTCATATCTAACTCATAAAAAGTTTATAAATGAGGAATGCTGGGTTAAATATAATACAGCCAGCAGATACAAAATGCAAGTAAGGCCTTATTGAGCAAAGGACGTTGTTTTGTTAATTGTCTCAATCAAACTGTCCTGATGATGGGAATACATTTCTTGAAAGCTTGAGAAATTGAAAAGTAGTTTTAGCCTATGTGGTGATTATTGACTGCATTTTCACTAAAATTTGAATGTTTTTTCTAAATTATTAAATACGTTTGAACTTATTTATTTTTAACATCCTTTTATAATGAATATGTATGCATTCTATTAATTCTTAATGAAAAATAAAACACAATACGATGTAGTTTTGATAAAATATATTTTTAAATTTAACATAAAATAAAAAAAAATAATTTATATCTACTACTTAACTTACCATGAATAAAATGTTAAAAATGTAAAAACAACACCATTAAAAACGATTACAACAAAAGTAATCTATACTAAATGATGCTTTATTATTTATTTTCAATAACTTTAAAACACCAATAGTCTGAATAAAATATGATTGAAATAAAGTAATCATACAACGATCACACATAATTTTACAAATTAAATAGTAAAGAGATAATTTGTAATTTATTTAGTAAAAACGTAAAGTTATTGAAAACAAATATTATATTAAATATATACGTTTTGTGTATCTTACTTAAAAAAGTTAAGCAAGTGGTATTTAAATATAAATTACAATAACTATAATGAGTAAATTTTCATGTTAAAACACATTTAAAATAGTCGGTATAAGTTTGGTCGAATGGACATAGCAAACTTACATTAAGAAAAATACTTTTCATAAAATAGACAACGTATAGTTACGTTTACAAGGCTGCTTTGTAATCACACGTTTCAAAAGGCTTTACAAATCCTGTAGAAAAGCACACGTTTTTGTACTAAGTAATTTAGTTGCCATAAACGAATAAACTAATTAACAAATATATCACTTTTATAACAACTAATTGTCAAAACGTAACAAATATACAATATCAAAGTCTCTCTATAATATTAGGCTGCCGTAGTGTATTATTTTCTGATAAGAGATCGAACTTTGTTAACACACCTATCCATGAAATTTTGCTTTCTTTTCGCTTCACTAGAATTACTCCGGATCGAATGTTTGTCCAGTTCGATCGAACTGTCAAGGACATCGTCCACGCTGTGAGCTTTGACTTTGTTGAGATTGGTGTGCGTGTCAGTCTGTGCTTCCTTGTCGGGAAAATCGAAATTGGTGCAGCTGTCTGCAGCTGCTTCGGACGGAATTGCTTTTTCGTCGGATTTCATCGATTCGGAATCGAGTAGACCATCTAAACTGCGCGATCGATTGGGCGTAGCTGGTGCGCTGCTGAGGGCTAGGGAGGAAATGGGTGTGACGGATCCCCTGCGGCTGGGATAGTGAGGAGGCAAGCCTCTGTTCGCCTTGGGATTGATGATCCAGTTCCGAGATGGGCTCCCCGCCTTGAAGTACCTACAATTAGGAACTGAAATATTACAATTAGTCAGAGGGTTTGGTTAATTTTGGAAGCAAGCATTATTTGTTTGGGTGTGCTTTATTCCAGAACCATTCATATTGTGCTGTTTGTTCAAGGGTTTTCATGCAAGAAGACCTCGAGTAACAAATACTGGCTATGTACTTTGTAGTAATTTCATCTACAGCTGCATACTTAGTCCTCAATCTCAGTTAGAATAATGAAAGAATCCTAAGTACAAAAGTATTATAAACTAAACCTCTGTCGATACTTCATTTTCTTTGACGTTGTATAATATTATTTTACAGTTAACGTTTACAATGTTCGCGCATTGATATACATATAAAGTGTATGTTAGGGTCCACATTTTGAGGAATGGATTTTTATCATTAAATATAGTGTAGAAAAGAGATTCTATCTTCCTATTATTTTTTAAATGTCTATTCATAACTCGAGGTTTTCTTGTATTTGAAAATCAATTAACCGTAAAAAATCCAAAAAGCACTACTGGACAAATTGGTTTTTATTATACAAGGTGAGTCTTGAAAAAGTGCAAATAATTTCGTGGCTGGTAGATCTCAATAAATCAACATCTTTTCTCTTTACCGTTTTTCAAATATGTCCAAAATAACCGAATGATATTGAAGTTTTAAAATTATATATATATTTTTTTCAAACGTCAAAAAAGTATTAATTTTTGCGACGTGATTGACAATATAAAAAGACATTTTAACAACGCCTATAGGCATAAAGGTAAAGCACTTTTACGTCTAAAGCTTGATTTTCATGCATCCGTTGTCCGACGATACGAAGATACGATATTAATTTTATTGGTTGAATTTAAAGGCTTCGATTGGTTAACCGTTTCTAACCAATCAAAGTCTTTTTTTTACAGTACAAGTGTGTTTATGAACATGATTACAACAACGAGTGCGAACGATTAGAGAGGTCGTAGACCGAGTCGTTCTAATCACACGAGTTTTGTAATCATGTTTAAACGCACGTGTCATGTACGACGTTTATCTACAACCGAAAAATGCGAAAATGGTGTTTTAATTTTCGTTTATTAGTGGTCCGCCTTTAACACCTTTAACTATGACATTTTTCACATTTTTTTAATTATAATTGTGGGGAATTGTCATTATTATAAAAACTAGTTGTGTTATAGATTCATAACACCACTAGTTGTGTTATGAATCTCATAATGTACAGTTCATCTGCTGGATCTGTGTCTATGAAAGGAATGCGGACAAAAAACATTTAAATAAACAACAATATATTTTATACGTCGACTTGACGAGTACGTCACCGCAAATCGCTCCGCCCACTCATTTTATTGACTACTTGCCAATTTGTCGAATTTTTATTGATGGGACAAGTCGTCTAATTTTTTACGAAAAACATGGAGAGAATATAGTTTCCCCTCTCACGGATACCCCGTAGCTACAGAACGGACAGACGTACTTTAACTGAAGTACTAAAAAATACTGATGTAAAAACGTTATAACTAAACGGTTGTAGATAAAATATAAATTATTAAACTGACATAAAGTGTCAAATTCAACGAGCGTAACCGTAGTTTCTCGATAAATAATTACATACAAGGTATGACTTTTAGATCCTTTTATATTATTTGGAACGTTTGAAATTGTTTAAAAACTTATTTGTGGCGTTTGAAAAAAATAGCATGTTCTATTCGGAGTAAAAATGACTTTTTGTGCCTCGGCTGTATGTCCAAGCCAAGACAAACGTACACAGCCTCGCCACAAAAAAGTCATTTTTACTCCTAATAAAAAATATACTATTTTGCTTAAATTTTGAGTACCACTGGATCTTTCCTGGGTTTTCTTTCTTGTAAATTTAATCTACCTAATTTAACCTATATTGCCATATTATCAAGAAATTATGTTTTTAACTAAAAACTAAAAAAAACAAATTTTCAATTTTTTTTGGCGAAAAAAACCTCATAGTCGTGTTTCTGGGGTCGAAATATACTACCTCTAAAAATATTTGTAGTTGTTTAAGACTCGCCCTGTATATTTTCGCCAGCTTAAGATTTTTTATCTACTAGTCTACTAAAGAAGTGAATTGAGTGAAATATTGGATTGGATTGCCGAATCACGGTGAAAAGTAAACTTCATGTCGAAATATCAATAAAGCCTATACAATTTTATCAAAATATCAATAATTTTTCAAAAAATCTGTTCAATTTAAACTTAAGAACTTTTAATAAAAGTATTAAATGCGATAGCATTTTTTATGTTTATTTAAAATAGCAGACGAACGAAAAAAAAACGGCGTCAAAGACGGCTGGGAAATGACAATCGATGATAATTTTGACGAGGGCAAGCCCTAGATGCCATTTACTTGGCACATACTACTCGTTATTTTTTAATGGCTCTTAGCACCAGTTGGCCTTAAGAAGGTTGTAATTTATTTTTATATTGAGTAAAAATGATCTTAAAATGGAGTACCTAGTTTAGAATTCGAGAAAAAATACTTTTGGAAATCGATTTATTTCTGGAAACGTCGAAAATTTTTAGTAAATGACGTCTAGAGATTGACCTCGCCAAAATGATTATCATTGCCATTCCCCAGCCGTCTTTGACGCCGATTTTTATCATCTAATTTAAGTATAATCTATTAATCCATTATAGTGAATGGGTTATTTAATCCATAGCGTTATAGGGAAGACTATTTTGTATGTTCTAAATTCAAAAAATATAAAATTTAGATATATTTTATCATAAAACTCAGTTGTAGCGTGTAGCCTCAGAATCGGCCTGAAATTGTAGCTGTAAGCAATCAAGCAACCCAATCTTTGTGCATTGGTGTATCGTCAATAAAACCTCTACTCACCTAGGCATTGGCGTGGGAGTATTAACCGAGACTGTGGGACCATCTAGTCAATCCCGAAGTCCGTTCATATCCTTATCTGAACCTTTCCCGCTTCCCGAATCGTTGCTGTGCATCCTCTGGTAGCTAGGTGGCTGTCTGACTAATGCTGGATTAGAAGGAGTTCCGGGCGTTAGGTCACCTTTGCCCAGGCCCATTCTCATCAGACTACCTTCGTTGCTTCTGGTGTTCAGCTCTCCGCGCATGAACCTTGAAAAAAATCCATATTTAGTCAAACGAGTCAAATTTTTTAAAGCTCATTCCTGACTAAAGCTGTTAAAGTGCATTTAAAGCTATTAAAGCATCACAGACTAAAAATTAGTTTACAAAAGGAGCTTGTGATGTATTATGTAGGTGTATTAAATAAATAGACAAAGGAGTATATTTTTTGACTACTCAACAAAAACTGAGTTATGATTAAACACCTTTTTTTATTTTTGTCTGACTTTTTTGTCAAATTTGACATGTCATTTAAAAAAATACAACTTTGATATTTTTTATTTATTTGGGACACTCTGTATCTTGTAAAAATATTTTTAAATTGTATCTCTAATAGTCCTTCAACGAACCCCAAACTTACAATTTGTAAAAATCTCATCGTTTAGCTACAATACTCCGTGTCGTATGTGGTGAACAACCCTGTATAATTTTTGAAGATTTTGACAAGAGATATGGACAATAGAAAATTATTTCTGTTTTTGTTTGCGGTTGTTCTTAGCAACGCTATAGCAGCGCCAGATCGCGTATAACAGTCGCGACCCAAAATAATGAAGACTATCAATTTTATGAGTTTTACTCGATTGTTCTAGTAGCGGATGTATATAATTTGTTATTAAATAATTATATTGTGGTTTATTTATTCACTTGAATTAAAAATATATCTTTTTTCAATCAATTTTAATTGATATATTTAATACCAGCAAATTATTAGATTAACCCTAAATTATATTCTAACAATTTAAAAGAATTGCAGTTAAATTGAAGTTAGCCATATTTATCATGGTCTTCCTAAATTTGTTAATATACTCCTTTTTAAGTCTTTTTATTCAATGTTTAGTTGAGATAATTAGTTTAAAGTAATACATGTTTTTTTAATTAATCTCTAACTAGTACTACATAATGTTAATAAAAATTGTTAATAATTAATACCATATGCTAAAAAGAAACGGTGTCAGAGATGCCTTGGAAATGAAGATCGTTGTCATGTTATATGTAAAATTATATGGGGAATGTATGCCATCGATCGTCATTTCCAAGTCAACATGACTCGTTTTTTTTCGATTTTACGGTATTTTTATATGTATATTACTCACCTTAGGATGCGTATTTGTGCAGCATGTTAAAACAATATTGCTTATATTTGGTTTCAAATACAGTACTGTGTAATTTACATAGTATGTATGTATCTATATGTTTATCTAACATTGTATCAGTGTATATAATCTCCTTATAAAAGAGTTTAAGTTTACATTGTATAGTTTAGTGCTAACAAAAAAGCGCCCACACATTAGATATACTTCAAAAAAACATGCATTACTATAACTAGATTGCTATGTATATCTAGCATTTAAAATTAGCACATAGTTAAGAAGAGTCACTGATGTTTGCTGCTCCAGTGACAAACCTGAAAAATTATTTGCTTTTAGCTAATGGCTCTAAATCGGGAGTGTTGAATCGATGCGATTTCGAATAGTTCACTGTAAATACAACTCATTTTAAAGTTAAAAATTAAATAATTGGAAAGATTCAACACTCCGTCTTTAAACTATATAATTGCGCTGTTAGTATAATACAATACGCATCTATGAATTTTTGCTTAAAAAATTGTTAGAATTATGCAACCCACTTCATTACTAAGAAAATCTGAATACACCGAGAGTGTAAGCTCGTTTAAGAGAATTTTTCTCTATAAAAATTATTCAGATTATCTTATATACCACATATATAAATTAAAAAATGAATCACACTATCAACATTATATATTATACCTTTCAAGTTTGTCCACACATGCATCTTGATAGTCATGAATCCACCTTACAGCATTAAAGTGACAGATTTGTCTCATATCCTCTGGCAGATCGTCAGGTTCGGGGAATGTGAAATTATCGATTATGGGGATGATATTACAATTAGCTGACAGAGCTGCTACAATTTCCTGTAAAACATTAACTTTAACATCGAATAAACTTGAAAACCATTCTAAATATGCTTACCCTGTGTACCCAGTCTTTCTTGTCGTGGTCGTCCTTGCACCTCTCCAGAGCATTGGGTGTCAATACTAATAAGAAGTGCTTGGCTTTTTGAATACTTTGTAACAAATTGTTATCAAATTTTCCGGCTTCTAGCCTTTCAACATCTATGAATACGCTAAAGCCTCTTAGCTGTAGATGGACTTTGAGCAAACTAGCTAATTGTGATCCGTTTGATCGTCTGTAGCTGACGAAGACGTCTAACGATTTGTCAGGATTGTCTTCGTTGAGATCGCTGCCTATTCTATTTTCTAACTGTCTGATGCCTTCCATGATTCTGTACCTGTGAATGGAATTGCAAATGGAACATTCGTTCAGCAACTGATCTTCGGAGATGTTTCTTAAAGCATCTTTAGTTTCAATGCCGGCATTTAATAGACTGTAAGTGTATATACAGAATTCTGGTCCAAGGGATTGTAAAAAGTTGTTTATGTTTGCGGAATCTCTAGACGTATAGTCTGCCATTCTTTTGAGTTTTTGTAGTTCTCTTGTGAATCTGTAAAAATACAAGATTAGTAGATATTTAAGAAGAAAAGAAATTGTATTGTTACCTTTTTCGTTTGATCCCATTCGTAAGACCAATGTCGTCTTTTAAATTATCCTCCGTCAGTTGAAGCAAAAGATCACCGTCTACTCGGCTTTCCACAAAACTCGGAACTATTTCGGAAAACCCAATTTGTCTAACCCACTGTTCAACGTCTTCAGAGGACCAGAGGGGCACTTGTTGGCTGAGTTTATGGGGAACTTCTTCCCCGATTAGTCTTAAAGCTTGAGCTGCATATTTCGATGCTACAGCATTAGGACAACTGGCAACTTTTTTCAGGGCTTCGACAGCGCCGATTTCTTGAAAAATGTTTGTGTTGCCCTGCTGTCTTTTTATTCCTGCTTCCATGCAGAAGTGAAAAGCTGCCAAGTTCCGCGCTTCTTCGCGTTTTGAGCTCAATACTGGTACTAATCGCTTCAACCACGTTTTACTTTGTCCGTGAGCGTGTGCTAAATTTGATTTTGCGAACTGAGAAGGATTGTGAATGGTAACGAAGGGTTCTACTAAATCTAAAGTACCAGATTGAATAACTACGGCTTCTATTTCGGCATTAGCTACCAGTACGGTAATGGCAAGGCAAGCGTAATATTTAATGTTATCGTCAGTGTGAAAGGCTAAGGGAAACAGCCACATCTGTACGTTTCGTTCGATCATAGTCTCTTGGTTTTCAGCGCCACCATAAAGGCTTAAGTTGGCTAAGGCACCAGCGCAGTGTCGTAATGTCTCCACATCTTTCTTTCTGATTTCGAACAAGAGGGCATCTAAACCACCGAGCTTTACTACGTCACTGCAAGTTTCTTCGCTGTGTTTGAACAGATGTTCCAAAATACCAGTACCTACTCTAGAATGATCAACAGAGTTGGTGTTTTTAATGCAAACGCAAGCTACTTTAACAACTTTGTCAAGTCCATGTTCTACAACATAATCTCTATTTTCTGTGGTTAAGCATTGTTCCAACAGCTTAGCGCTGTGAAACTGTAAATCGTTATTTGTATTGGTGCAGTTGTTTAAAAGCAAATCTAATCCTCCGCATTTTCTTAAAGCGTTACACAAAGTGTACCCTAATTCGTGACCGTAAGTGGGTACTGCCCACGCAGTTTTAATCACATCGTTCATTTTGTCCAATATTTGAGGTGCCTTAGGATTGCTGGTAGCTTCTTGGATACATTTAACTGATTTATCAAGATAAGTTGTGTATTTGTGAATAGCCCTTTCTACGTCTGCATAATTTGAGCCAGCGGAAAGTTGTTCCAGATCGTCTAATGGTGTGTATAAAATTTCGTCTTCGGGATTTCCGTTCATAAGTTCGTGAAACTAGAAAAAAATATAAATATTAAAATTTATTGAAATAAATTACGAAATTTAATTATTTCAAACTTTAGTTAATTCTTTTAGAATAAAATAATGTCCTCTTAAAAAAAGAACAAAAACGTACCCCTATTTTTTAATTAATAATATTTAACACATAATATAGTTGATAGGCTATAAACTTATTTCCCGAAGATAAATTATAATGAAGAAGAAAAGTACTCTTTTTGTAGATAATATTTATATACCGGGTGTGTCTCAAAAGTGTGGCTCATCCCTATAACTTTTTTATTTTTTCAGATGTAAAAACGAGATTTGGTATGTTAGTATATGACTTATTAGGATTGATTGACGTATTCTTATCTATTATTTTCGGCCACTTCCTGTTTTACCGGAAATGACTACAACTTTTGATTTTTAAATGGCTCCCTCGGTATTTTTTTTTTACTTTCTTCGATAGAAAATGATACTTTGAATAGAATATGTCATATGTCAACTTTTGACATTTTCGCATAGAAAAAAACCGTATTTTAAATTTCAATCTAGAGTGCCATATGCCTGTGTTAAAAATACTAATTTTTAATCAAGGACTCTTGGAAAAATAGATTTGATCGTCTGCTGTTTTTAGTTTTTAATGTCATGTCCTAGCCAGTGAGAAGCTTTCCAAATCATATTTTTAATCATAACTTAATTTTTTCAAATGGAACGAGGGTGGCATTTTTTACGAATAATTTGGTACCACACACTTGTTTTTTCTAGTCAAATTGTCGTTATGAACCGCATGTTACAATTTCAAATCAACCATATACGAAAATGTCAAAAGTTGACATATGACATGTCATTCTATTCAGTGGCATTTTCTATCGAATAAAGTAAAAAAAATACCGGCTGTGCCAAGATTTATTAATTCCCAAAAAATGTCGATAATATTGTAATTTTGGTTTACCAAATCGAAAAAATGTATAGGAAAAATTCTTTATTTTTTAAAAAGAACAATTTTTAAATTGATATTTTTTCATAGTTCTTTATTTAAGCAAGCCATTTCACTATGCGCTGATGCGCTGATTTGATGCGTTGATGTGGTTCGTCATCCCATATTCATTATGCGGTAATGCGGTTCGTCAATGTGATTCGTTAGTTCGTTTGAAAATTTGTCCATTGTGTTCCTAATATTTCTTTTGATGGTTCGTCCAAAAAACGACTTCCCGCTGAACTGCGGCATAACGCATTGTATCTACGCATTGTCGCATCTAATCGACGCATCATCGTATAATTACTATGAGCACCGAATATTAACTAAAGATTAAATTAAAATAAATAAACTGTGCTATAGCTAATATAATATTAGCTAATACCGTATGATCGAAAAAAATTGCATATAGTTGGCTTGGAAATGAACATCGATGACATTCCCCATATAATTTTACATATAAAATGACAGCGATCTTCATTTCATAGCCATCGCTGACGCCGTTTTTTTTTCGATCTTTTTTTATCGTATATACAGGGTGTTTCAAAACAAATGCGAAAAACTTCAGGGGGTGATTCCTTGTTCAAAATAAAGGGTAGTTTGCTTCATAAACGTTGGGTCAAAAGTCAACCATTAGGGAGATATCGCGGTACATAAATGGCGGAAAAATAATGTTTTTATTTTTTATCTTGAAAACAAAAAGAGATAGACTAATAAAATTTTATGGAAGCATTACTGTTATGAAAACACACTTTCTGGTAATTTTTTCACGTTTTTAAAATGAGTGGAAGGGGTTGAAATAAACTACCCCTATCATTCTTGTTAACGAAATTTAAAGAAAAATCTTATCAAACACATGCAAAAAAAAATTAATTTGGATAGTTTAGTTTGTTTAGAAACTTTTTTATCTCTTGTATTTTTTGATAAAACTCACCGATTTGAAATTAAAAATAAAATGTAAAGCATTACACGCCAGGACAAAAACATTTTCTGATAAAGAATCTAGTGGGCTGCTGTAATTTTTTAGGAAAAAATCTAGTCGGCCGCTGTTACTTTTAGGATGTTCCTAATATTATTTTATTTGACATTACTCTACTGCAATACGTTATTATCTAGATGATTATTATTATCGTTATTATCACTAGATTCTTAATCTAAAAATGTTTTTTGTCCTGACATGTAATGCTTTACATTTTATTTTTTAATTTCAAATCGGTGAGTTTTATCAAAAAAACACAAGAGATAAAAAAGTTTCTAAACAAACTAAACTATCCAAATAAATTTTTTTGCATGTGTTTGATAAGATTTTTCTTTAAATTTCGTTAACAAGAATGATAGGGGTAGTATATTTCAACCCCTTCCACTCATTTTAAAAAAGTGAAAAAATTACCAGAAAGTATGTTTTCATAACAGTAATGCTTCAATAAAATTTCATTAGTATCTCTTTTTGTTTTCAAGATAAAAAATAGAAACATTATTTTTCCGCCATCTTTGTACCGCGATATCTCCCTAATGGTTGACTTTTGACCCAACGTTTATGAAGCAAACTACCCTTTATTTTGAACAAGGAATCACCCCCTAAAGTTTTTCGCATTTGTTTTGAAACACCCTGTATAATATTATGAGTATTTATATTGACATACACATCGATTATAGTATAAGCTTCGAATGATGGTAACAAATCTATATAATTCTACATATTATTTAACTGGTTAAAATTGATTTAATTTGTTTTGATTTGTCAAAAATAATAAAAACTGAAAACAAATACCCTCGGTGAGTCATATTTAAGAAGAAATAAAATAGGATCCAAATACTTTTTTGCGATCTAAAAATAAATTTCAGGTATATTATTGATATAGGCCTTTATAGGTTATTAAACCAGTTAACAAAATATCAGTGAGAAGAAAGCAGTGTTGTGTTCTCTTGGTTTTTTAAATTATTTGGAAATCGCTGGTAAGTCTTTCTTATCGATGTATTTTAGTTGTAATTTAAGTCTGTTTTTCAATAAGCGTATTTCAGACTAATCATTTTTTATGATTGGTTATGATAATACAAATTAACCAAATTATTTTTAACACATGGCAGTGTAAATATTAATTTACGACGTATATCGGATTTATAACCAAAAATATGAATATTTTATTATAAGCCCTGTTTTAAGATGATTTATTACTAGAGAAGACCTTCACGAAGAATACGGAAATAGATTTTAGAAAATCTAAGATTTATTAGTTGGATATACGCAAGTGACATTTAATGTATACGTTTCTTGGGTGTTTTTTTTTGGTGACGGGATGGGGGATGGTCGAAAACGTTGATTTACCTGTGTAAGCATTTTGGATGATGTGCTAATCCCTTTCGACGATGTTGAATATACCGCAGTACTACTGCTTCTGCTGTGCTGTTCCTGATTGTAGATTCCGCTAGCTGTTATGGTTTGCGATTGTTGTTGAGATTCGGTGGCCGATTTTTCCGTGCTGAATTTGTCCGTGGTGAGTTTTAGGTTCGTGTGGGCCAAATTCTTCGATTCCTGTTGGCTCACGTCACCCGTCTTCAAGCTGCGCGCCTCCTGCAACGAACAAAAACATTTCGTGAATATTTTCAAACCATGTTGGTCGAAATGAATTTCATATTGACTGTTGTTGGATGTAAATTAATTACTTGTATAATACTTGGAAAGTTCAATGGCGATGTTTAAAGGTTATCTCTGACCAATTTAATTTCTTTTAAATTATTTACGGTATGTGTTGCGACGGGTTGCGTTATGGATCATATCCATGTCATTTTTGTTATTTATGTCGTATACGAATTACGTTTAATTTAAAAGAGTGTTTTCAATTGGATGTGTTATACCATGGCAAATAAAAAAATTGCATTTGTAAAAACGAATTTGGATTTTATGTGATGGGTTTACCGGTAGCCTCTATGATAGTCTCTCCTGTTCAAGCAAATCATTTCATTTGAAAAAGCAAAAATAAAAATAGCAACTTATACAAGTACGACAGCGCCGTTAAAATTTTAGGAAGCAATATACAGGGTGGTCCGAACTGTATTCCGGAAACTTCGGCAGCATATTCTGCAGATAAAAATAAGTAAAAAAGTTCGCATAAATATATGTCCGAAAATTCTTAAGTTTCGGAGATACAGGGCGTAGAAGTTTTATTTTTATTTCGATTTTTTTAAAATAATTTTTGAAGTAACGTCAATATTTGGATAAAAATTGGTGTCCGGAAGTCGGATGAGAAATTTGATTTTGATGTCAATATGCCTCCTACTTGTAGAGGGCGCCACATACATATTTTTAACTGATTTGAAAAATATTAACTTTTCCTCCCTACCATGTAAAACTACTGAGTAAAAAAATATACATTTACGACTTTTTTATGCAACAAAGGTCTCTTGGTAAAAATCGCTACGTAGTATTAATATAAAATCGCACTAAAATGGTTCCCGAGATATTTGGAATGTAAATTACATAAATTCCAAAAAGTTTCTTATAAGGAATATATTTTCTCTTTAAAGTTTTTCAAATTAGTCCAAAATAACCGAGTTATTTTACTTTGAAAATTTAAAAAAAATATTTTTTGCTTAAATTTTGAGAACCACTGGATCTTTTCTGGATTTTCTTTCTTGAAAATTTAATCTACTACCTATGTTGCCGTATTATCAAAATAATTATGTTTTTTAAATAAAAATTAAAAAAAAATCCCAAAGTTTTTTTAAAAAAATCCACATTTGGAAAAAAAATCGCGAAAAACTCATAGGGGTGTTTCTGGGACTATCCCTAAAAACGATTACTTAAAAAAATAATTAAATTAACACCCCTAAAAATGATTGCACTTATTTAAGACACTCACTGTATAGTATTTAAAGTACATATTAACTCAAGTGTAACAAGTAGGTAATTAAAAAGGTACTTCTTATAACAATCCTGTATTTACTGTATATTTATATTTCCCTTGTAAACACTTATAAAAACTCTACAAAAGTTAGATTTCATCGGATCATACCTTTGAACTATGACTCCAATCCCAAGTGACATTGTAGTTCAATTATATTTAAAATTTATTTAAATTATTATCAATTATTATTGCAACACACTACTAAATGAACGAATGAACCAATGAATGAATCTAGCAATTTTCTTTCAACTAACTGAAAGATTGACTTAAAAGTTATTTAACATGAGTTGTTATTGCTTTGGTCCTTGGCTTTCGATTAGCTTTTAAAATGACTAAAAAAAATAAAAACTCGTTGGCCTTTTGCCCGTTTCAAATATTTATTATTAAAAACTGACTAAGTGGCCATTTTTAAACAATTTTACCAGAACATTCTTAATATTTTATAGAGATACAGAATTTACTCAAAGTTTTGTTGTTTCTAGATACAAAACTTTACTCCAAAGTACATACTCCGGGGTCGTTTCTGACATAATAAATTAATAATATCGTATTAGATGGCTAAACTTAGGGGGGAGGGCATGAGCCCCCGAATCCCCCCTCGTGGATCCACCACTGCCTACGAAAAAATATTAAAACTTTGATGGTTGTTGTCTGTCATTTTGATTCAAAAGTAAATTGTTATTACTGTCAATTTTTGGTTGTCGTCTGTCAAAATCATCCCTTTTCAATTTATAATTGTAATATCGTTCTTTAAAAGATTGCAACAAAACACTTTACCAATCAGTCAGCGCATTCATTCAACACACAAATTGGAATATTAAATATAAAGCTTCCTACTTTTTGCGGAGGATAAGTGATTTTCAGCTTCGGAGGCGTATTTATGTTGGAAACCAGAACCGGCGTAGCTTCTTCGTCGAAATCCACACTTTTAAAGGCCCCCTTTTTGACGGGCCAGGGGGCTGACATTTTCACGTCGGACGACATAAGCGCGCGAAATAATTTTTAGACCGAAATTCGCAATAAATTTTGAAAAAAAGCGTTTAGCGTTAATACATATAATCGTACGTCTCGATTCGAACTAACATGTTCTCTGAGAATTCAGATATTTGTCGCGTTTTGGCTCACTGCCACTCACTTTACGTTGAACCAATATCGCGTCAAAAAATTAAGAATAGGTCTTTTCAACTTCAAATGTAATACTATTTTCTGTGTTTTGTGGGGATTGCTTTTTCATTAAATTATTAACATCACTGCGAATGAAGTGACTGTATCAGGAAGTTTTTATAATTTTGTGGTTTCGCTTGAAAATTGCTTCTATTGTAATCGTTCATATAAATTTGACTCATTGTAAGATTAATAGTAATACTTTATCAAGTAATGGGTAATTGTTTTCAATGCCCATTTGGTTATTAATAAATTTACTTATGATTTACGCACGTGTTTTCTTTTTCGAATTATAAATATACAGCATTACTCACATATAGTCGCCTATTCCAAAAATTTTGCTCGTGTTTGAGTGAATTTTTAAAAACTATGTTATCGAAAAATTATATGTTTTTTAATACATTTCCATACTGTTTATTACCTTAACTTACCTTAATTTTAATTTTCTTTATTTAATTTAATTTTAAAATTATTAATGAAGAAAAATACAAATGTTTACGGGTTATATCCTAAGTCCAAAAGTAGCAAAATAAGCGTTCGGCATTTAACGTTTTATGGAAAACTAGCTAGGTATTTTTACACAAATCGTTTACTCACATCGTCTATATCCATTTATTCTCGATCTCTTTCTCTCTAACATACAATGTATGTACTATCTGTTTTTATTTAAATTTAAGGCTTTTGTTTTAAGCGGGTGAAATTGCACCACTAAACGTTCGTTTGTCAAATAGGTGGCAAATCGGTTCGTTTGAAAAGCACTGATTGCCTGATTTGTTAGCAAATTCGAATGTTTCACACTTTGGAATTTCGTCAAACTAGCTGCTTCAAATCATTTGACTGTTCAATCGTTCGTTTGCATAGCACTGATTGCCTGATTTGTTAGCAGATTCGACTGTTTCACACTTTGGAATTTCGTGAAACCAGCTGCTTCAACTCAATTGACTGCTCAATCGTTCGTTTGAAAACCACTGATTGCCTGATTTGTTAGCAAATTCGAATATTTCACACTTTGGAATTTTGTGAAACCAGCTGCTTCAACTCAATTGACTGCTCAATTGTTCTCTAATACTATCAATACTAGAGATAGCTAAAAAAACATTTAAATAATCCAATGAAAGTTAAAAATCAGATTTGAAATCTGATTAAGTTATTCTAACACTATACATACTAAACAAGGAGGCGAAAAAAAATGATAGTTTTTAATAAACAATGCAGACGAATAATTACTACTATTGTATTTTAGGTTTTTATTTTTTTATGTTGTTTTCAGTTAATGTCTGAATGTCTCCACTTCAGTTATTTTGTGTGAAATAATATTTTGAAATACAATTAAATCAGCTTAAAATGAGTATTATATTATTCTATATCCCCTTATTTTGTACTATATCCCTAAAATCGGCTCAATGCACAGCTAATAGACACACTTGTTCTATATCCAAATCTAAAATCACTAATATCCTTTAAATAAAGTTTCTAAAAGTAAAATAAATACATATGTTTGATAGGTTTTTATATTACCTTCAATTTATATGTTTAATAGAACCATTTTGGTATACAGGGTGATTCAGATTTTACTAGAATAACTTCAGGTATCGATAGAACTAACCGAAATAATGATAGTTTGTATTATAAACCATACTCTAAAAACGCTTCCGCTTGGAGTAAAATGGTGCCAAAATTTGAATTAAGTTCTCCAAGGCATGCTGCTAATTAAGTAACATTTTTCGAACGCAGCTGAGCTATGTTCGGAATTTTGTGGAATATCTGGAAAACTAAGCGACATATCAAAAAAATTTAAGAACAAGAAAAGTTAGTAAAAAGACGGAAGGTATCAGAAAAAAATACAAAATTATCCAGTGGCGTGCCACAAAAAAGTTCTACAAGGTTCCGTGCAGTTGACACTCACAAAAACAACACCCTGTATAGCAATTAATCCAATTTTTTTCACACATATCGGCCACGTTGCCCTTAGCATTTAACAAAACATTTGCGTATTTAGATCCTCTGGCTTACGAGTAATAAAATAAAAACCGAAAAATAATTCAAATTTTAGCGCCATTTTACTCCAAGCGGAAGCGTTTTTGGAGTATGGTTTATAATACAAACTATCATTATTTCGGTTAGTTCTTCGATACCTACCTGAAGTTATTCTAGTATAACCTGAATCACCCTCTATAGTGTTCACGGATATCCAGTTTAAACTTTGTTTTCTCAGATTCATCGAAATGGTCTATAGAACAATCTTATTCTAGGGTGACGAAATGAAGAAAAAAATTAAAGCTAAAGGATTATACTATATCTGTATTGTAGCACATTTTTAGACAACTTCTTTACTTTTAAAATTTTGATGGTCAAACATCAACTAGATGTTCGTTATGTTTGGACTAAATTTTCTCAAAAATAAAGACATAATTTAAAATTCCGTTACAATACGGAAATAGATTGAAGTTTTGTGATTACAGTGATATATAATTTGTATGGTCTTGTAACAAATTGCTCGCTA